CGCGAACCGACTCGTCGGTAATATTCAGTCGGCTAATGTTAAACCCCGTTAGCTCCGCTCCGTTCGGCTCTGCCAATTGCGGACCCGTCTCCGCTGTAACCATATATATATCCCACTTGTACATAGGTTACACCCCAGTAGTAAAATCAACTAGAGTTACCCCCCTAGGTTCTAATTGCCAGTCAGTAAGTTAGGGCACGGACGTGTCACTAGGCACAGCGCTCTTGGCAGAAGTCGCTGAGGCCGAAGCCCTCCACTACGGAGACATTCCTTCGTCTCAAATCTGGTCTCTGACAGTTGTTGGGTTTAGGATTAAGGTCGGAATGTTGGTTCTTGATTGACAGGTTCTTGGGTACGTTAGGTGAGTTGATTTTTGTATCATTCTCGCCATTTCCGTCCTTGTCCCCCCCTGAAATGGCATTCTGACTACTCGGACTTCCTTTAGATCTTCCAACTTCGTCTTCCACTCCCTCTTCCTCATCATCTACATTCACCCTCACCCTCTCATGTTCACCTCCCTCAATAAACTCAACGTCCCTCAACTCTATCATCCAGCGTTTAGTGCGGTCCCACAACAAGTATGCTCTTTTATCTTCGGCAAACCCAACGTGAATGCACTCAACTGTCCAGGCCCCAAGTTTCGTTTGAAACTTTTGGGGAATGTGTGCATAGGCAACACATCCGAATAGTCGCAGTGATTGAGTGAAGGTTTTCGACCGAAATATGCCTCGAAGGGTGTCTGGTTCTGGTTTAGAGCTCGGGTTAATACCCGATTCTTAATCCAGACAGCATGTCGTATGGCAATACCCCAGAAACTCGGAGGAAGTTGCTTGACTTTAAGCACTTCTTTCGCATCTTCTAGCATTGACCGTGCGCGGTCATTTAGAGTGCAGTTTACCCTTTCGGCAACTCCATTCTGTTGCGGGGTGTAGGCGTTTGTGATCTCGTGGGTGATTCCCTCGGACTCAAGGTAAGTTTTGAAGTCGGCGGATGTGTATTCACCACCTCCATCTGTGCGCAGGGTTTTAACCTTTCTTCCAGATTCCTTTTCAGCTTTCGCTTTCCAGGCTTTGAATAGATTTAGCGCTGAGTCCTTGGTCTTTGCAAGTCCGATATGGGTGTACCGGCTATAATCGTCGGTGAAAGTGATGAAATAACGGTGACCCTCGCGGGTTTCAGGAGTGATTGGGCCGCATAAGTCGCTAAAGACTCGGCCTAGTGGTTCGGATGAGCGAGTTGAAGTGGATTTAGGGATTGGATCGCGTGTTTGCTTTCCCTTTAGGCAAGGTATGCAGCGTCCCTTTCCTTTCTCCGTAATTTCCATTTCGCCCACTGACCCATGTTTCTCCATGTTTAGGATTGTATCCTCGGTAATGTGTCCAAGCCTCCGGTGCCATAGGGCTAGGCTGGCTTTGGAAGTTGACATGGTTTGGGTCGTGAGTGCATGCTCATCATCCTCTGCAACTTCGACTCGACAAAACTTTGCGGTTTCGGGATACATGATCTTTACCCGGAGTCTATAGAGACTTCCGTGTGGGTATGCACGATTAACGACTCTTCCAGATTTGGGATTTACGATGTCGATGCGGTCATCCTCAATAATGGTTCTGAGACCATTCTTCGCAAGTTGTCGGCCAGATAGAAGATTTTCGTTTAAGCGGGGCACATGAAGAACATTTGTGAATCGGCCAGGATGGGATTGATCTCCCATGAATGTTTGGACCTCGATATCACCAATACCAACTGCGTCGATATAAGCGTCAGCGGTTTTGATCTTCTTTGGGTGAGTGAGTTTCTGATAAGTCGAGAACATTGAGGAGTCAGGGGTCATATGCGATGAAGCCCCTGTGTCAATGACAAAGTGGGTGAAGGGGGAAGTTTTTGAGGCTACTAGCGCAGTCTCAGACTCGAGGGTCTCATGCGTGAGGTATACCAATAACCCCTCTCCTGATTCTTCGGCTTCAGCTACTTTAGCTGATTGCCCTTTCCCCGACTTCTTCCGTCTCGGACCTCTTCCCTTTGGGGCTTTCCCTTCTGCCCCACCTCCTTCTGCCCCACCTCCTTCTGCCCAACATTGCTCTGCAGTGTGCCCCTCTTTCTTGCAGTTGCCGCACGTTAATTTGTTTCCCTCCCTAGATCTCTGACTCAGCTGGCCTGAAGAGGCCTTCCCTTTCGGGGTTCCCTTCCCAACTCGGACTAGCATAGCAGTTTCCTGCTTGTGCTTGAGTTTACTCTCATGTACGAGGATCACATCTATTGTATCTTGCAGGGTAAGTTTGTCCTTGTTCAGGAGAATTTCCTGAATCATCTCCCACTCTTCCGGAAGTGCCATGAGTATGGCAACTGTCTGGATTTCCTCGCTAATATTGGTTCCGAGTGAGTCGAGTTTAATGAACAAATCCTTTAGCTCCTGAATTTGACTGTAGATATCCTTTTCGGGAAGCATAACGGTGCGGAAGAGTTTCTTCATAAGGTAAAAGACAGACTTCGCACCTTTTCCTTCAAACTTCTTTTTGATTTCCGCCCATGCTATAGGAGCTTCTTTGATACCCTTTATGAGGAGTTTGACTTCCTCATCGACGGACACGACAAGTTGGAGTAAAGCCGCAGAATTACCCTCTTTCCATATTTGGAGTGGAGTTAACGCGGTGCTGGGTTGTGGAGCAGGAGTAGCAGGGGGAGTGTTTCCTGAACCTGTACCAGTATTGGCAGGCGCAGTAGTGGGTGCAGGAGCAGGGGGAGTGGAGGAAGGTTTAGGGATTGAACCATCAATGTATTCCAGTAAGTGGTGATTCTCGAGTACGAGTTCAATCATTGATTTCCAAGTTCCATAGTTCGATCCATCAGCTCATAGCCGATCGTTCTCGAAGATTCTGGTATCGACTTTGTGGGAAATGGTGGTCATGGTTGATACTGGGTTGATGGGAGTTCTTTCTGGTTAGAATTAGAGAGCCTCTGGGCTCATAACCTAATAGGAGGGCTAAAGCGGGAGCTCAGTCTCCGTTAATGAAGAACTGAATTACTACGGTTAATACTAACCTAAAGCGGGAGCTATAGTACAGAAGAGTACAGAGTAAGTAATGTAACAACTAACTAAAAACAATGATACTAACCTCAGTCTCCGTTAATGAAGAACTGAGGAGAAAAGGAAAGTAGACCCAAACAATTACCTATATACAATGCAGTCACGGTATCAATACAACGGAAACGAAAAATAAGATCATGTGAGTTTGATTAGTGAGTCACGCGTCGTTGTAACTCCAACACATGATTTGTTTCTTGAAGGGTTCCCTGCTGAATGGCTTTTGACAATAGTTCGCCTTCCTTTGAAGCATTAGATTCATGGGTCAGCCCAGTCCCATTCCCGGGTCCCATTCCCACCACAGTGTTTGAGAAACCCTCGCCGGCTGTCGTCAATTCGGAGGGTTTCACGCTATGCCTGAAAGATATTGCGTCGCACTGGAAGAAAGAAGCGGGGGCATCGGCTACGCTCATGACAATAGGTACATCATGCATTGTCGATGCATTTAATTGGAAGGAATTTCGGTTGTACTGATATCTTCGTCCAGTGAGGTCAGGCCGTAAAGATTTCAGTGATTTCCCCATTGCACAGCAAGATGAGGTTTGAAAATCGCGGATATGATCCATGCACTGTCCACTTCATTCCTTAGAAAGTCTCTGGAAGGTAAAGAGCCTAGAAAGGGCGAAAAAATCTGACAGGGCAAAAAAGGGAAGGAACGCTTGGTGGGGAAGTTTGGACAGGTATTGGTACACTCTTAGAACAGCTATTGGGTTCCCGTCCTCCTATATAATTTCCCTCAGCAATCAATCCTATGGATGGAAGACCGAAGGGCATCCTCAGATTGGCAGAGTTCATCAATAAATCACGAGCCATCGATAAAAGGAATGGGTGCCGCCGCACCACCCAAAGGGGAGGGAGAGCATAAACACCGTAAATACATAATCATCCAGTTCAGCCGATTACCCTGACCCAGAGGACTCCGTGTCCACGCCTAGCATTGATGATCCCCTCATGTCCATTATAGTGTTCCAGAAACGAAATGGAGTACATTATCGCCATCCAAAAACCCGCTTGTTAATGTCTCTTTTGCAACACCTGTGTCAATATCTGTAAAACCATATAAGCACATGCCCCCCCTTCCTACACCAAGAACGAGACAGGATCCATTTCTTTAACATTTTTCTCAATGCCCAAATGCTAGCTAAGAATGGCAACCATATTAGAGATTGGGTCATGGAAGCAGATTATGCGTGTCCGAAATTACTGCCAACATGTCATGTAGGCTGCGGAGCACACCCAAAACCTGCACACGATGTGCTCACTGCTCTCAGTAAGTGCGCGCAGTTTCCAGTCACCGTGGGAAAGTTTTCGGGACATTGAAACTTACGGATACCTCAACCATTACTCTGTAGATGACTCTGAAAGGTGGTAAAGATGCTATGCATTAACCGCGGTATTCCCATTTTCTGTGATTTTCCGATGTGTGGAAGTCGCCAAATTCTTGTTGCATTGAATGGTCAATTACTGTACGTGTTTCGAAGTTGATTTCCAACGCGGGCTGCTCAGACTTGCCTGGCCTACGTGCAGAATCCCCCTTGGAACATTGTCAACGATTTTGGAGCCCTAGCAAAGTGGTACCCCAACACTTTTGGGTACCTGATTAGGGGCCGTTACCCGTATATATAGGCGCCTTGCTAGATACATTTGATCAATTGACATGGTTGGGTTCGAAGAATGGGCAGATAGTAGTACCGAAAAATCGTGTGCATGTAACACAGGGCTCGGAGCACTGCCTCCGATCAGAGCTGTCCAACATGACATGCACCGACACGCGGCTATAGCCGGTGCCGAACAGGACAAACATGTCATTTCACCGACAATCCGTTTGTTCTCATCTATGCACGATGAAGCTACCAGCGCATCCTGGCTTCAGGGTGGGTGTGGCTACTTTCTCCCAAACCGCTAAAGCGCCCAGAAAATGGTCGGCGCCGACGTTGCCGAGCGGGGATCCAGTGCTTCAACTTGAGGAGATCTGTTATAGTGTCTTTTATCCTTGCCTTGAGCAGCCCGCCTCACAAAAACACCTCCCATGGGTTGTAAGGTAGGTTCGTCGTCGGGTCTGCTACTCTGACATCAGCGTGTCTCTGACGTCATCTTGAAAGGCCTTTGTGGGATTTCTTACACGGTTTGGCGAAGTTAACTGGTACGATGCAATTGTAAGACCAACGGCTCTGCAGCTGAATATTCCCTTTAATTAAGGAATTTCGCAATGGTTTATCTGGCCATTCGTTTACTTATATGCCTGTTTCATAACTCCTCGATCCTGTATTCCGTGCCGACGGACCGGGGATGGCAATTAAGGGGACATCGAAATGGCCTTTAGTCATATTCAGTCACGGACTCTTTGGTTCTCGGATTGCCTACTCTCAATTTTGCGGCAGGGTTGCCTCCGAAGGCAAGTATTGCGTTATTCTTCTCCCTTGTTTTCCGAAGCAGACCTGCCCAAATATTAGGGTACGTCGTGCTCGCAATTGAGCATAGGGATGGCACGGGGTCATCAGTCAAGATTCGGTCAGCGAATCAGAAGATCCGTACATTAACTTATACTCGATACGACGAAGTGGGGTGTGTGTCATATCTCTTTCTGTATGCCGAGATCGTCTGAATTTATTCTTCACAGTTGGGGCAAGCACACCAAACCTGCGGGATTATATCCATTCCGAGCGGAACAGCTAGTGTTCCGTACAAATGAAGTTTATGAAATATACCACTCCTTCAAAGCCCTCGTCGACGGCGATGCGGGAAACATTAGAAACGAAATTAGCGAGTCCGGCCATGATTTGTCACAATGGAAAGGCAAAATCGACGTCGACGACTTGCACCTTACGGGCCATTCCTTTGGTGGTGCCACCGTGGTGAGTTCTTATGCCCCATAGTTTGTTTCTTGAAGGGTTTCCTGCTGAATGGCTTTTGACGATAGTTCGCCTTCCTTCGACATCCACCCCCCGAGCCTTTCGAGCCCCTTCCTTTGAAAAGCGTTTTAGCATTAGATCCATGGGTCGGCCCAGTCCCATCCCCGGGTCCGATTCCCGCCACAGTGTTTGAGAAACCCTCGCTAGCTGTCATCAATTCGGAGGGTTTCACGCTATGGGAAGAGCATTTCCAACTTCTGAAAGATATTGTGTCCCACTGGAAGACAGAAGCGGGGGCATCGGCTACGCTCGTGACAATAGGTACATTATGCGTTGTCGGTGCGCTTTGGATGGAAGGGATTTTGGCTGTGCTGATATCTTTGTTTCTAGTGAAATCAACTCACAAAGATTTCAGCGATTTCCCCGTTGCATTTCCGTTCACAGCGAAACGAGCTTTGAAAATGGCCAATATCATCCATACACTGGCTACTTCATTCTTCAGAAATTCTCTGGAAGCGGAGCTTGGTAAGGAACCTAGGAAGGGCGAAGAAGTTTGGCAAGACAAAATAGGGAAGAAACATTTGGTCGGGAAATTTGGAGAGGTGTTGGTTCACTCTTAGAGCTGTCGGGTCAGAAATGAAGCCATGAGTCAAGCAAGGTGCTCAGGAACAGGGACTGACTTTGCGTTGGCCGCGCGAGTCTAAGCAGCTCACGTAAGTTGCAAGCCCTGTCACGCTAGGGGGTGATCCGACAGCAATTCACGGAGGCGATTTAGGGCTGTGTCGATGTGCGGTGTAACCACATCGCAAGTTTTGCCTTAGCTTCTCGTTCTCTTGCGTCTCCCTCCACCTCCCCATTCGCCTTGCTTACGCCTTCGAGTCTTTTACTGCACTCTTCCTTTTACCCTAAGTTATGAGTCTCATTTGTTCATCACTTGCGTTGTTGTTCCGCTCCTATGTATCGTGATTTATGTAATGGAGGAACGAGATCGAATAATACTTGTATTCGGTAGACATGGCTCACAACACATGCCTTTTTCTCCTTGTTTTCTACCTCTTAATCCGCTGCTCGTTGATGATTTTTCCATTCTTTCATGCTTAGCTTGGGTACCGCTCGAGCCGCTTCACTTAGTCGACCCCCATCTGGATCCATGTTGTGAATATTCGGTCTTTATGTCCTTCAGATGCCTTCGGTAAGTGAGATCCCGTTTACTTGGTTCATTGGATGTTGTCATTTGGTTGGTTCTCTGTTTCCTGCTTTCACATCTCCTGCTGGTTGTATGCTGTCTGTTCTGCGCCACCCTGCGGCACCTTGGTTATGTATACGTCCCTATTTTCCGAGTTGGCTGTACTTACCGGAGGTCGCTCCTCGATTCAGGTACCTGGGGCGCATCCGCCTTGTCCAGAACCCACAGCATGTGCCTCCCAACAACCCGTGGGAATTCCCCTGTCTCTGAATCAATTGACGTGAGTCACATCCCATTTCCGTATCGTCAACGCCTTGAAGTGTTGGTTGTCAAGTCCTAGCCTTGTTGCAAGCGCGGGAACTGAGAGCTGGAATAACTTTCCATGCCTCCGAAGTTTAGTCCCGACGATCCAGCGATAGCAGCTCTTATAAGCTCTTTCAAGGCCATCGGGTTAACTGACTCGAAGGCGATCGAGGCAGCGCGGAGCCCAAAGAACGCTGCTGCTCTCAAGTCACTTGTTGATCGGGCGGATCTTACTAATGAGGAGAATTTAGATGAGAAAAAGGCAACATTGATTGCCTCGCTCTCAAATGCTGCTACTAAATTGGACGATCCCGCTCGGTTGTATGTCGTACGAGCAGTTATCGACGGGAAGATCAAGTCAGGGGAACAAGTATTAGGTGTGTGTACATTTCTTCTGGTGCTCAGAGGAACAACAGGATTTATACTTTGTCTATAAGCTGCAGTGAAGTTTCTTGAGACGCGGGGTGGTTCAATTGATAGCAATGCTTTTGACGCTGCGTGTGGAGTCGGTGAGTGATATAAGCGATGCTACCTTACAATACGGAATTACTAATGGCACCAGGTGTTGAATTAACTCCCGATGACATTTACTCGATCCTTAAATCCCTCGTGACGAGCCAAAGAATCGAGGGCTGGGGATCTCTCCAGTCCGTCTTGAGCGCTGCTAAGAATGCCACTAAGCTCAGATGGGCACCGCCTTTAGAGGTAAAGAATGCGGGTGATCGCGTCTTTACAGAGTTGTTTGGACCCAAAGAAGTTATTGACAAATCCAAGCCCAAAGTACATGGAAGTCATTGACTCGTAGGCAACACGGTGAACTAACATTACCCACCAGGAATCCAAGAAAGCTGCGTCGTCTTCATCCAAAATTGAGATGCAAGTCGAGAGTGTCCCTGATGCTCCCGAAAGAACCATGTTCGAAGAAGGTTTCCTCGGAAAATTGCATAAGCCAGGGGACAATCCTCAGATAAAGCCCGAACTCCGCGAAGCACACTTAGCCGCTACGGGTGGAAAAGTCTTTACTCGATTCCCTCCCGAGCCCAACGGCTACCTCCATATTGGCCATTCAAAAGCCATTTACATTGACTTCGGGTACGCTGCTCATCACAAGGGCCACTGCTATCTCCGCTATGATGACACGAACCCTGAGGCTGAAGAAGGGCGTTACTTTGAGAGCATCTTGCAATCTGTCCGGTGGCTTGGTTTTGAGCCATGGAAGATCACGTACTCGAGTGATTACTTCGATCAACTACATGCCTTCGCTGTTGAACTCATAAAGAGGAATAAAGCATACGTATGCCACTGCACTGGTAAGGGTGAATATGCCAAGAATTGCTGATGGAACTGACTTTAATAGGCGAGGAAATAAATGCGAACCGTGGTGGTGATAATCACGGAGCTCGAAAAGCATGTGCACACCGTTCGCGTCCAATATCGGAGTCGTTGAAGGGATTCGATGGCATGAGGGATGGGAAATATAAGTCTGGAGAGGCAATTCTACGAATGAAACAGGACCTGGAGAATGGTAATCCTCAGATGTGGGACTTGATTGCTTATCGCGTTTTAAATGCATCACATCATCGAACTGGGACAAAATGGCGGATATATCCCACATATGACTTTACACATTGTCTTGTGGATAGTATGGAGAGTATCTCGTGCGTCCATCGATTTCGAGTGCATTTGACCGGCTGCTGAACAGGTGCATAGCCATTCGCTGTGTACTACGGAGTTCGTCCAGGCGCGAGAGTCGTATGAGTGGCTGTGTGACGCTCTAGAAGTGTACAAACCAAGGCAATCCGAGTTTGGGCGCTTGAACCTCCAAGGCACCATTACCTCGAAACGGAAAATCCAACGTCTAGTTCGCGATGGGCATGTCTTGGACTGGGATGATCCTCGCCTTTACACGCTAGTCGCTCTTCGACGACGAGGTGTCCCTCCGGCCGCCATCCTTTCGTTCGTCGCTCACCTTGGTGTGTCAACAGCTCTCACTAGCATCCAAACCGTACGACTTGACCAGACCATAAGATCATATCTGGAGAACACCGCCCCTCGGTTACTGATGGTCTTGAAGCCGTTAAAAGTCATTCTCGTAAATGTCCCAGAAGACTATGTTCAGATGGTGGATAAGCAGCTACATCCCAAGGTCCCGGAGTTGGGGAAAACCACCATCCCCTTCTCTCGCGAGCTCTTCATCGACATAGACGATTTCAGGCTTCAGGATTCAAAAGATTACTTCCGCCTTGCGCCCGGGAAGACAGTTGGTCTTTTCCAAGCCCCTCATCCCATCACTTGCACATCGTACAAGGTGGATCCCACAACGAACGAGGTCGTGGAGCTAATTTGCAGTTTGGAGGATGGATCTGCGGGTCCCATTCCACCTAAACCTAAAGCGTTTATCCAATGGGTTGCGAACCATCCCCCTTCTGGCAGTCCTGTCGTTGTCGATGAAACCCGGATTTTCAACCAGCTTTTCAAGAGCGATAATCCGGCTGCTTCGGATGATTTTATCAAGGATATCAATCCCAATAGTCTCGAAGTAGTGAAAGGCGCACTGGTTGAAATTGGATTGTGGCCGTTGGCGAAGAAACTTTTCACCGAGGCTAGGCAGGAGGCCGAACTTCGGACCAATAAAGCGTTGAAGGAAGGGGAAGTTGTGTCTCAATCGGGCTCTACAAACGACCCACACGGAGACACGCCCGTGCCAACGATAGACCAACTTGTCGGCAACGAATGCGTTCGTTTCCAAGGTTTACGCGTGGCATACTTTGCCTTGGACAAGGAGTCCATTGTAGGCTGCCTCGATGAGAAGGATGATGCAAGTGCTGGGGCACGTACAGGGGATCGAATCATCCTTAATCGTATAGTAAGCTTGAAGGAGGATGCCGGTAAGAAAGCGGTATAAATTTGTCCAAGCAGGTGTATGATTAGGTATACATACATGTAACAACACGACTGCTGTTGTAGCATAATAGTTTCAGATTAAACGGGCAACAGCGTCTGCCTCCTTTCGGCGTCTCGCGCCTGATTCTCGTTCGGCAGCATTTCGACCTTCTAGGCCATACCTGGATAGCTTTTCAAGTAAGCTCTTCAGATTCTTTGGATTTATGACCGAATATTGTGATCTTCGGGTTGCTGGTTGTAGATACGTTGAAACTTGATTGTTCATGGCGATGTTGCAAGCCTAACACAATCTTTAAGCACCCGATAGATAATTGATAACCCTGTAGACTACAGTACCATGCGCAACTCTTGGAACGAGGTGAATGACCTCCCAAGATTCTTGAACTCGGTATCCAGAAAGTCAATGTCCACCATGAGATTCGCTAAAGCATTGTCATTGACCATTGGAACATTAGGTCCAAAGACGAAATCCTATGGCAGCTTGAGTAAAGACAACTATGAGAAAGAGCAAGACTGAGAGACGTACGGCGAAGCCTGACGCAACATAGTCAAGGGCGGCCTTGAATGCTTGATCCTTATATTTATTTTCAAGGGGCAAAGAGTCAATCACTGTCATGAGCCAATGATATAACTCTTCCATTTGCATCCTTGGACGAGGATCTACATCTGGTGGCGTCCAATCGTAATCTGATAAATCGAAAACATCGCCAAGTTTTGATTTAATGAGATCCGAAAGTCGATTCCCTGCTTTGATAAGGGTAGAAGCGAAACTGGATGATGATAGTTGCAGGTAAATATGTCCTCCTCGCCGTGAAGTTCTACATATTTGGATGAATGATGTTATATATCCGGGGGTTGGAACAGGTGTTTGGGAGAAAGAACCGCATACCGTAACTGTGTAAGTTGTTCCTCCAGCTCAGCACAAGCAACGACAAAGTGCTCTACATTAACGATGTTTTGCGCAGCTTGTGGTAATGTTGAAGCGGATGACAGACGAGCGGAGATTTTCTCGCTGACGTGAGTTGCAAGGAGACGATCAAGAGACTTGAGCGGACCCACGGAACATCAGTACTTTGATCGTGGCAGGAGAAGAGAACAACTCACTTCACGAAGCGAATCATCCGTACTTCTGTAGTAATAAGTTGCTCCTTCAGTGAACCGGTAATATTCCTCAACGAACTGCCGAATCTGTTACGAAAAGTCCGGAAGGTATGAAAAAAGAAAGATACGTTCATCGATCCGATTATAGACTCACATGGGTGCAACACTTGTAGAATACTTGCGAGAACGGGAGAGTGACGGGGACGCCTTGCCTTCGGAAAAATGTCAGAGGTGTTTAGCGTACTGGAAAACTGACTAAACTGGGCGAGGGCTTTCGCGGTGTCTGCCGCCATCCAACAAATCGAGAAGATAGTTCCTCGTTCGGTCGCAGCTGTGACAAATATAGGCTGGTAATCGTCTTCGGAAACTGCCTATAAATTTGGTGGGAGTTGAGCCCAAGGAGATTTGCCTGCGTTGCGGCACTCACTTTTTCAAACATATCTGCGAACTGCTTCTCCAGAAGAGCGGAGTGCGTTTCGAACATTGATAAAAGCAATTCTTGTAGTGGCGCGATATCAAAGTCATATGTCTGTTAGGCGTGCGGAACCGTGAGTTGTCCAGCGGCAAGGGACAAGTGAAGGTGCGGGAAATACCTCGATAGTTTGAACGAACGTAGTAAGTGTGTCCTTCACATCAGCAATAAACCCCATATCCCTCTGGCTCCTGACGGACCCTCCCACCAAATCAACTAATCTCTTGACGACATCGTCCCATAAATCCTCCACTTCCCTCATGCTCCTAAACCCAATCGTTGTTCTCAAGACTTCAATCTCCACCAAGAAAAATCCAATTAATTCATTCGCGACGGAAGGCAATGTCGTCGGCAGTAAATGTGGAGTGGTCAATGTTGACATGATGAGGGATGATTGGGCCATACGGTCGGTTTGGTACGATGTTTGAAGTTCAGGTAGGATCGAAAGGGCTGTGTAAATGAGGATAGCTTGGTAGAGGGGCTCGAAGTTGATGGTAACCTGGTCATTATTAAACAAATTATCTAGAAAAAGAGCCAAAAAAAAAACAGTCGACAGAGCACACAAATCGATAGACAGCTAGGCTTACTCTCGATTTTGTCATGAGTCACAAGCTCAACAGCACTCCCTACTCGAGTCGATTTAAACATCGGCTCCTTCTCCTTTCGACTCCGCCACCTCCGAGCCCTGACGCGCATGGCCTCAAGTGCGAGTTTCCCTATATCCTCACTTTTATCTCTTACATCCGTTAACCATTGGATGTTAGCTGCAGTGACAGCATCTTTGACCTGTGCTCTGAGGGAGGGCAAAGAGGAGAGTAAATGGGTGTACAAAGGCGTATTGGAGAGTGCAGTTGGTGGAAGAGTCTCAATCTCTCCCAGAGACTGTTGTGGAGAAGAAGAATGGCGCAGAGTGTCAGCGTGCCCCATCGCGCTTCTGAGGATTCTATACCCACACGTAATGCACTAAAATACCGTCCCTCCTTGATCATATCCCGAACGCGCTTCACCAAATCCAAAATTCGAAGACATCCTTGTAACGTATCGATAGCTTCATCAAGGTTCGATGCGGTTCGTTTAGCTTGAAGCAGCTCTCGCTTTTGGGCGGCAAGATTTCGACCGATGGAAGTGACAGATTGATCCAACGATTTGATTCGTTCCCTGAGGTTGACAGTGTAGGACCGAACGGTGAGCAACGTAGAGACAGACGATACGAAGTCCTAAATTCATCACGCAGCAGCGTTAATATCCTTCACCATTATATGGGCATCGATAATAAGAAACATAAAGCGTAGGCACAAGATGCTTTGCCCCGAGGCGCACTCACCTGATGGTTTTCCCCACAAATCTTCATAATCTCCTTGTCTTTAGAGTCTGTAAGTTCCTTCAACGTCCTGAGAAATGCCTCTTGTTGCCTCGATTCATAGACGGTTTTCACGATTGGCGCCAGGGCTTCAAGGTTTTCGGTGACGGATGAGCTGTCCAACAGGTGTATCTGGCGGTAGAATAAAGGAAGTGGTTAATCGTTACGCCTTTTAGTGCTAGTCCAATGTACCGATTGCAACTGAGCGTCAACATCTTGAGGAGTAAACTGGACCCGCTTTCGTGGTAGCATGGAGGATGCACAGCCACCCGCTTGGCAAGCTCGCTACGAATGTTGTGAATGCATCTACTCAGCAATTTTTGGACTCTCTCTTGAGGGAAGGAAAGTCTGCCATTCAGGTCATGCGCATTGCTGGCAACTGTCCCTTGACACTTTTTTATTCTCGTTCTCCAACATCACAGGCTGGTAGTCCTTTTACTTGGGGAATACTGCCCTTTTCCTCTTGGATGAAGAGTATAGCTCGGAAACACATCGCTGGCAGTATACGTGAAAATATCATGCATGTCCTAGCTATGTTCCACTTTGATAAGAATGATTCCATTGTGTCCTTCACCACGACGATTACCACCGGGCACCGGGCCTCAAGGAATTTACATGATATATCCCTTGCAATAGTGTTGCCGTGCCATACTTTTTCATTTTCTTGACAGGAACTACATCACGGACGGATACATAGTACAGACTCTGATTCCATAACTTCTGTCTCGATGCAACTGTTCAACCGCTGATAACCACATTTTGCATGCTTGTTAGTCCCAACTCGCCCCATTCACTTATTCCCTGAGGCACTACCGTCGTGGTGCCCACGAAGTTGTTCCAATCCTTTCGAAAATTCACTCGCACCTCTCGCCACGATACTTTCACCTGTCTGTCCCGAACGAGAGGCTGGTTTCTCGTCCTTACTCTTGCGTTGGCTGTAGAAAGTGTAGATCCAGAATGCCAACCCAGGGACAAAGACTTACCTGATGACGTCGCCGGTATCGTCAACTAACTTGTTGATATTGCCTCGAACCACTTCGCCTGTTCCATGAAATACGTTCCAGGCGCCTCTTTTAAATGAGGACACGCATACATGGTATCCGTAAGTGTTGGGAGATCTAGGATGTAGCAGTAAGATGGACATGCCTCAGAGTGTCTCCCAGCCGCGATCCAGTGTGTGCAGCATTCTCGTGCGTTTGACCTTGGATGCCGGCATGGGCGGGGTCAGTAGCATTTGAGCCGCCAGTTTCAGTGGTAAGTTCAGCTGTATCAGTCGCAGGAGGATGAGGTGACGTTTGCAACTTTTGATCCGTTGGGTGGTCAGTTGCAGCATCCTGGTCCGAAGTAGAAGGCATAGTGTACGATTAGGGATGAGCCTTTGCTTTGATGATTATGAAACTATTTTGATGCCACGTCAAAGTGCCAGAAACCCCAGCACAAGTCAAGTTTGGGTTTTAAAAACCGTAGGTCGATGGATTGACGCCACGCTCGGTGTCACCTCAGCACCACAAGCGATATGATACTGCACGCATAAGAAATGCTACATATACATCAACATCAACCCTGACTCTGACATCTGCACGTTGACACTATAATGTCGTGTAACTAACTGCTCCCCGGTGCTGTGATCCAACAAGGCAAGGTGAAACAATGCCTGTCTCCCTGTTGCCACGATAAACACGGAGCGAGGTTCCCAGCAGGCTATAGGGGCAGTCGTGTAACATCTGATCGTAGCGTTGGTGCATCTGGGCATCCACCCTCTGGTGCAAATGAGGCGAATTCGCCCATGTGTCATTTTTTATCTCCACAATGAGAACCAGCTTAAACCGTTGACTGGAACAGGCGCTCTAGAGCGCTCTAGACTAGGGGAATTTTGCTGCAGTTGCCTTCGTGATGTGGCCAACCATCGGTGAGGAACGCATGATCCTAACACGCATGCATCTGCATCAGTAATGGCACACTGTCAAGGGTATACCAAGTGTGAGGAAGTGACATTTATCGGTCAAGCTATTTTGGATACAGCAGGTCGCAAAACAGGCAACCACAGGTGATGTCACAAATTCACCCGATGACGATTCCCAAAGGGGAGCTGAAGTAAGCGTCCTCATCCAATGAGAGTGCGCTCTTCATATATAGTACACGTGCGCAGCCTTCAAGTGCGAAGTGATTTCAGCTACATACAAGAATGGTGCACCTTGTGCACGTTTGAAAAATGGAGTAAAATGAATACATTGACCCGTTATTGCAAGAATGAGAGCAAGTGCCGTTGGCGTAACCCCCGTGAGTTGCCAACTAAAGTAATGGCGGGCTCGCCCAACTCCAATTCAACCATCCACCTCTCTCAAACATTGATGTCACCTCCTTCTCCAGTTCCTTCCTCCTGGCTGCCTTGAACTTGTCCACATGACGATGTTCGAAAAAGGCATCCTCGTTCACCTCCCACCAAACCCTAACAGCCTCGTGTACCTCGTTGAGGGTGCTTAACCCTATAACGGTTGGAATTTCCTTCGACAGCTCTCTATCGGCGCCATCTTCACCAACCTCGGCTGTTGGTCGAACTGTCCCCCTCCTAAACCCGTATCCCAAAGCCAAATCAACTATTCCACCTTCCCACCTCTTCTTCCCGTCCTCATCCTCCTCCAAAAACTTGATCACTTCCTTTCTAATGGCTTTCATCCCGTTCGAGACGGAAGTCCAACTAGGCAACTGCCTATCGCCGAAGAATCCCATATTAAGTGGCGATGCACAAAACAAATTCCGTACGAGTGGGATGGAGAAATGCGAACGGGAAGGACTGAAAAAGAGAGGAATGTATGATGCCAGGGCTGTAGGAGAGGAGAGGGTGTGGTGGGAATAGGACATCAATGTGTCGAGGGGTTCGGAGAACGTTTGGGTTAAGAGACAGGCTAGACGAAGAAGAGTCGGGAGTGGGTATCCTGAGGCAGGTTGATTCAGGATGTTAGATCGTCTGAGGCCAGAGTGAACGTACCGGTGATACCGATAGCTCGAACGAGTCCTTCAGAACGCATGTCTCTTAATTCACTGTACGCGGCAACAATTTTATCATCCCCTTCCCCACGGCTCTTGTTCTCGTCCAGACCCCAGACCGCTCTTAGTGTGTCGTCATCGATGACACGTGTCGGATCTCCGGTAGGATCTTCAGGATATATAGGATCTGCGACAAATTCGACGTCATGTAAGTAGAGAACGTCGAGGTACGTCGTCCCGAGCCGTTCTAGGGAGCGTTGGACAGATTTGCGGAGCGTGGAGGGCGTGTAGTCGAAATTTTGTTTGTTACCCCCGAATCGACCACACTTAGTCATCTAGAAAGAAGATTGTGCTTAATTTTTTTCCTTCGCCGGGCAGGGGAAGTAACACGCACAAGTTTGTATGATGAACGAGGGAACTCGGGTTCGAGAGCACGGAGGATCGAACCCAGGACGATCTCAGACTGGCCATAGTATGTGGATGTATCGATCGTGGTTATACCATAGCTATGCAAGGGATCGGATGAAGGGTCAGAAGCACAGAAGCAAACGAGTCTATCTACGGACCGCAACGCAAGACGAAGTGTCCTGAATGGCTCGCTCGAACGGATGTGATCTTCCGATTGGTAATGACCGGAGAAAGCAGCGCCCCCAAATGCTAAAGGGGAGAATCCGGAATCCAGACGAGGCTAGCATGTAACAGGAGTCATTCGGAAAAAGTTCAGAACGAGATCGGCGGCCGTGAGGATGATGTCCAAGATTATGCTTACCAATTCTTTCCCAGGTAATGGTCTGTCTTCGTTTGCATCTGGGATTCCTGAAGGATCTGGGACATCATATATAGGTTGGGACGCGTCGAGCGGTATCATTCCCATGTCCGCCAGTTCTTTAACCATCTTGGGCATGAACAACAGTATGATACAGCAAAGTGAAAGGGATTTGGAAACGGGAAGAGAGCTGCCTTCAAGCGCTTTTTCGGGAGCTATGCCTCTGATCCGGCGATAGGATACAACCTCCTGGAGAACCTTGGATCATGATAGATGGATCATGTTTAGAAGTCGTACGGGATAAGAAATCCCCAACTCCCGGTTCTCACGGTTGAGTTGACGTTTGAATGAAAAATCCCAACCTTCAGTCGCACTTAAGTCGAAATCCGAGTTCTTTTTTCTACCCACCAGAGCTGTTGGACTCGCGTGCACCTTCCATAAGTAACTCGTGCCAACCACATAGCTCTTGAGCAGTGCAGCTTCATTGCCACTGCATTATTGCCGCTCCGTCCCCCGTCAACGATGTCGCTCAAGGAGAAGGCCAATGCTCTCAGACGGGATATTGATCGCCTTCTTGCAGCAGGGGGTGACATCGCCATTCCAATTCTTAGAGCTATCAATGCTGTATCCGATGTATTCCCTCCCCTAAAGGGTCCCACCAGCACCGTCCTCTTCATGGTCCAAGTAAGTAATGGAAAGAATTTGGGAAATATGTGGTTGATGTTGTAGTGGATGCACTAGCGGCCATCGAATCCTATGACACTTCAACGGAAGAAGCAAAACCTTGGCTAGTGAATGCCAAGAAGTTGAATGAGTACGTACTATTGATCTTTTGTCGGTCGGCTATCCCATTTATGTGCGACTCCACAGCACGCTAAAACACATCGCCACTGAAATCGTACCAATCCTGGAAAAAATGGGGCGGCCGCGCGCTGTTACTTCTCACAGTTGAAGCATCCGGGAAGGATTGATGGCTTCAAGAAAATTCTCGACAATGCATTGGCATCATTTCAGGTGACTCTTCTTTGCATTGCTGTTCCTCTGCTATCCTGACTTGTTTGGGATCATGTAGCTGAGGACTAACCTAACGACTGGAGCCAAACTAACAGACATAGCAAATAATCAAAGCCGTTCAGAGAGCGACTCAGTTTTGAGTGAGCTACGATATCCAACCATTGCCCATCATGACCCAGCTGAGGTGTGCCTGGAGGGCACCCGAACCCATCTCATTGACCACATCATGACCTGGTGTTGTAGCACGGAGGACGACGCGAAGCAGGTGATGCTACTAACAGCCGTGGCCGGTGCTGGCAAGACATCCGTTGCCCATTCAATCGCGGAGAAGTGCGAATGCGAAGGGTCACTGGTATTCACCTTTTTCTTCAAAGCAGGCGAGCAGTCGCGGCCAGATCACCTGGTCAGCGGCATGGCTCGATCACTAGCAAAGCGCGACCCCTCATATTGTGCCTCCATCATATCCATTCTTAGGGATGATCCACCCCTCGCGACTGCATCTTTCTCAGTACAATTTGAGAAGCTTTTCAACATCAAGTTCTTTGTCACGTCAAGACAAACTTACCTCGTGGATCGTCTTCTTTCACTCAATTTTCCCATCGACCGGTTTGGCATAGACATCTTGGATGATACCAATAAACAAGACTGCTCCGTTTACATCCGCGCGCAGCTGCGTTGCCTAAAGAACGATCATTCGGGTCAAGGAGACGAATTCGAAGGAGACGATTCATTGGTTCAAGATATATCGGAAAAAGCTGGCGGCTTGTTCATTTGGATCAGCACTGTCTTCCGTTATGTGAGACTAGCCAAGAAGCCGAGGAAGACGCTAGATAAGCTGCTCAACACGGGTGCCTCTCGATCGATGAGCTCTCCTGGAGGAGTGATGGGTACGCTGTATTCGGCCATTCTGGACAAATGCGATTGGGAGGATGAAGATTTCGTGCATGACTACCCCATCGTTATGGGGGCGATCCTGGTTGCTGAGCAACCGCTGTCTATTGCGGCGTGGGATGCGATTTTGTCGCCGTTCTTAAAATCTTCCATTCAAGTTGAACTTGCTCCCCTCTTGTTAGGAGTCCCCCATTTCGACACATCAATCCGCATCATTCATCAGTCGTTCCGTGACTTTCTCATGGGAAAAATCGGTCCTGAATCACTCATGAGTCATTGTTACACGGTGGATACGACATGGGCAAATGCCAAGATGGCCTTGCGCTGTACCGAGATCTTGAATAAGAATCTTTGCTGTGCGGAGGGTTTGGGGCTGATCGAGAATGTTCCCGAAAAGGATAAACTGCCACGCATCCCTCAAGAGACGCTGTCAGAACAACTCCATTACTCATGTCGGTATACTGTATACCACCTCAATAATGTTCAGGAGCCACTAGAAGTGCTCAGCGGATCGGTTCTCACATTTTTGAATCAGCATATAATACGCTGGGTGGAGGTCTGTGTGAGGACAGAAGGGTATATCAGTGTATCATCATTTCCTGAGTGGGCCAAGGTATGAAAGATCTGATCTGTGAGGCTTATAAGGGATTCTTATTCGAACGTTAATCGGAATTCAAAGAAAGACATTCACAAGTTGGTCCAAGTACTTGGCAAAGTGGGATGGAATCTGGCATTTTTTTCGAGATTTCAGGAGGCATACGAGTTGGCAAAGGATTCCGCAACCCTCTGCCGTTGCCTCGTGCGAGCAGACTCGGAGTCCTACACCCCACAGTTAGCTCAATCGCTCAACATTCTTGCGATATCATCGGGTATTCTGGGACGTTATTCAGAGGCACTTCCGATGATTGAAGAAAGTGTGAAGCTCTGTCGTGAGCTTGTTGCTATTGATCCGACGTTATACACCCCAGATTTGGCTCGATCGCTCCATAATCTTTGCATAACGTTGGAAAGACTAGGACGTCATTCCGAGGCGCTCCCACTGACTGAAGAAAGTGTGAAGCTCTGGCGCGAGCTTGTTGCTGTTCATCCGACATCGTACACCTCAGATTTGGCTCAATCGCTCCAGAATTCAGAGGTATCATTTGACGTACTGGGACGTCATTCCGAGGCGCTCCAGGTGATCGAAGAAAGTGTCAAGCTCTGGCGTGGGCTTGTTGCTGTTCATCCAACATTGTACACTCCATATTTGGCCTACTCGCTCCAGAATTTAAGCGTGGCATTGGACAGACTGGGACGTTATTCCGAGGAACTTCCGGTGATCGAAGAAAGTGTAAAGCTCTGGCGCGAGCTCGTTGCTGTTCATCCCACGTCATCCATCCCCGATTTGGCTCGATCGCTCAACAGTCTCAAGATATCATTGGACAATCTGGGACGTTATTCCGAGGCGCTCTCCGCGATCAAAGAATCTGTCAAGCTCCAGCGCGAACTCGTTGCTGTTCATCCCACATCATACAGCCCAGATTTAGCTCAATCACTCCACAATCTCGCTCTCTCATTCGATTACCTTGATTGCCCCGCTGAAGCAGTGCCTTTCATCGAAGAATCCATTTCTCTTTGGTGTTCTCTACATATTACTCATCCGACCTCATATACCGCTCATCTAGCCTGGGGATTGCGGGATCTATCCAGGATACTTTCACGCCTGGGGCGCTGTACAGAAGCATTTGACATGGGTGAAGAGGCGAGATCGTACTCTCGTCAACTTCGTTCTGAATACCCTGTCATCTATGCAAATTATCTTCGACAGTTATATGCCGGTATGGCTGTTCCGTTGGAACGTCTTGGAAGGGGTCATGAGTTAGCGGATATACGCACTCTCATACGAAATTTATGATGAAAGGCGGAACATACTCTCTACGCGACGGAGTCTAGCTCCAACACGACATATTCTTTCACTGGCCACATATTCAAGCACGAACCCGTAGCCACTCTCACTCTCCTCTTCGCGATGTTCTCTGACCCACCAGAGGATCGGCAATTTACCTCTGTCCGATATATTGCTGTCACTGAAACAGATTTCGAATATAGACCTGATCCCCGATTATGTTCCTGCTGCCATCAATTGAGCGGCTGCAATCAGAATTGGTTCGGTTTTGAAGCATCGACTGTAAATTAGTAGATATCTGGTGCAGTGATGCGTACAAGCCTGCCCAACAATAATTCAAATTAAATACTTTCGAGAATTCTGCTGCTGCGAGCGATTGATATTAATGAATGATTCGATCGAAATGGTGTTGCAACAACAGAATATGGAACTACGTTATTGTGTCTCTCTTCCTCTTCTTGCACAATGCTCCAGTCACCCATACAAGCAATTCTGCCAGTCTTGGAATCCTGAGAATCGGAAGCATCTGTGTTCAGGGCTGTGTCCATCACGGCCATCGGGCGGTGAATAGCAATGATTGGGTTGATAGGGTTGTATTCTTCAGGGAGTACATGCCCCTGGCGTCGCTGATTGGAACGACCCACTCAGGCACAATTACAGAGGCGCAAGGGGCTACCCCAAAGCCGTGTTATCATCTTGCTTGAGAGAAGGAATAACGTCGAGATTCAAACGCGTACCGACGGGCGGACAGCACGATGCTACGAGCCTCGGGGAGCCGACAGGACTGCATTCGTAAGTGGTTCCTAAGTATTACGGAGGCCCACATAATTCCATTCGGTCTTCCGCTGGGCAGTTGAGAAAAATTGAGGTGAGGTGACGACGAAGTTCGAAGAGGAAATACCGTTCCAGTGAAGAAAAACCCCCCAACACAACACGTTGCGAGATAAATGGCACTCTTCAGGGCGTGGGTCGTAGATGGTCGATGTCCGCAGAAAGGCGGAGCCTTGGAAAGATAAGTGAAGATTAGATCTAAAAATGATGTTGTAAGAAGCTATGTACGGGTAGTTAAAAGAGCTCAGCGAACATTGCGCCGATTGGCGAAGCATTGCTTCTATAAAGGCGCGAGGAGCAACAGACGCTCGTGCCGAAAGGACAACTCCGGTGTGGGCAATGCCTGAACTATCTTCTGTACCGAGGACAGATACCGGGAAGAACGGAATGACTGAAGATGGTGGACACGACGCGGTCCCGGTCATGGAGACCCACTTTCCAAGCATCCAAGGGGTTATGAGAAGAGAGCTTCTCCTTGAGAGAAGCATCAAGAGACTTTATACTCTCTTCCAACTCCTGCACGCGTCCAATTAATTCAGTGAACAGTTTCTCAGATCGGACACCCACCGCTTTGCCCAAGCGCATTAGCCCTTTTCTTTTCTGGCATCCGCATCCGCAGCGTCAAATCCCACTATGCTTCACCTCTCCCATCTCCATGGCATTCCTGTCCAAACCTAATGATCAGCAACACACAACCTTGTTTCACACGTCATATTATGAAGACAGACTCTGTCAGAGGTCGGCGTGTCAAGGTGTGCCTAGTCAATATCCCAATAATTATTTTCCACTGCAGAGCCCCACACCAAATTCGAGTGTATCGTGAGCAATGGATACAGTACAAAAGGTGCGTATGCATCCGTCAAAAGTTGACGGGTATGGTACTTCAACGATTTAGTGGGGAGTAGAAACGCAAGACGATGATCGCGATGCACAGTCCTTGCATATCGTTGATTTGGGTTAGAGAGTAGTAAGCGTTTGCCGCTCAAGACAGGGTCTGGCATTCGCAATTCTCGGAAGTTCCCGAACCAAGGCTGCAAGCGGGCGAGCCGCGGGATCGTCCCTTCAGGACTGACAGGACTGTGAAGGGGTTAGCTCGGGGACTTACCATTTCGGCTGCGGTTATCTTGGTCTCCGTTTACCGCAAAAATTGTCACTCTGATGTCGCAACTCGCCTCACATTCTGTCGACCCCCTTTCGGCAGAAAATGGACCGACCATATTAGACCATCCATCTCCAAAGGAGACCGCACAACATGTACAAGATACAGAACACTCAGCTGAGGATTCAGAAGAGGAGGTTTTTAATTATATTCAGCAGAGTAAGCTGGATGACCAATCTGCCATTCGGTTCTCATCGCTCTGCATTTCAGGTGAAGAAGACCACTTGCAAGAGGAAGAGTATTTCATATATCCTGGCGTGTCAGAAATAACCAATGGTTCGGATGCTGGTGACGTGACGCGCATATCAGGGGGTGTCCCTGTCGAAGATGATTCGCTGGTCAATGTGCAACCTGCTGCCACTAATCCTTCACCAGCACAACTTGAGGCGATTTATGCCGCTGCTTCATCTGGGGATATCGAACAACTACGACGCCTCTTCGATAGCGCTCAGGAAGAACACGGAATTGATGGGTTCACTTTAGCAAATGAGGCAACATCACGAACAGGCCTTACTCCTTTGCATGCCGCTTGTAGTCGCGGTCATCTTGAAGTTGCTCAGTGGCGTATGCACCCTATCTTTATTATTGCCGCGGATTTATACGCTCATAAAACATCTGCTTAGTTATTGCCGATCGCGGAGCAATGGCGGATCTTGAAGACAAGGAGGGCGAGGTAAGAACTCCTCTGTGTTCCTGTAGTAGGAATGACATTTTCATATCATTCAGACTGGCCTTCACAAGGCTGCTCTCAACGGACATATTGAACTGGTCAAATATCTTGTCACTTTGGAAGTTGGCAAGGCCGACGTTCTGGCCCAGGATGCAGATGGGTATACCCCCTTACATAATGCGTGCTCTAAAGGTGGGTGGTTCTGCTTTGTTACGCGACAATTGCTGAATCCACAGTTGAACAAGGGTACCTTGATGTCGTTCGATGGCTATGCGACTCGGGTGGCGCTGCTGACACTTATGAGAGGGATGGCAAGTCAGGCCGTGGTGTGGATATGAAGAGTAAAGGGGGTTGGACGCCTCTGAGTTGGGTATTACGCCTACCCAACCGCATTCTCCGTCTCACCTCTTAGATTAGTGAACGCTGCCTCGAAGGGTCATTTACCAGTAGTGCGCCACCTGCTATCGAAACAGTCTGCCGATCCTCTCGTTCGAAACAATTGGGGTGAAACGGCGTTTGACATTGCTGCTGCAGTGTTCGAGATTTATATCTGCGAGGTATTTCGCCCCTCTTTTGGTACTTTCCCAAAGCACTCACGTCGAGGCGTAGGTTCTTCAGCAGGCTGAACTCGAGATTTTCCGAAGGGCTGGCTCGGCTACCAAGTACAACCCCTTAGCGATCCATGCCACCGTTCCCATTATTGTCCATGAACACCAAAGGCTGGATACTCGGTTCAAGACTCTCGCCGTCAATGGCGGGAAACCGCGGTTTTCCGTGTATCATCTAGGCAGGGAAGGACGACGAGCCCCATTCGAACTTGTGCTTTGGCCCGATGGGGATGCCTTAATTGGGCGGGGTCCACCTGAAAAGAAGTACATACCCGCATGGAGGAACAGCGTCCAGTTGCCCTTCCTAGATGACTCTTTTACGATCCCTTTGCCGAGTAGTACCGAAGCCAATCTGAGAGATGGGGCGGAGCGGAGTCATTTCTGGATGTGAGGTTTTTCTTGCACTGCTTATGGAGGTATTTTTCGTTAACAAAGGAATAAGGTCTGATTGGATGCTGGACGTGACACATCCACGGGTGGACGTTACTGATGGTTGGCAGTATTCAAGATATCTTGATGACACAGAGGATCGCTGGACAGCTGAGACACCGCCTCAGCTTGAACGCCTCCTTACTGGCTCTGGCCTCGTCGCCGCAGGTTTAGGGAGTCCTTCCACGTCTAGTGGGTCCACCCGCTCCAACGGACAGCACGTCTCTAAGAAAGGGGCCCTTCAGAACACGAACCTCGCCTGGGCACGTCGAAGGAGATGGGTAAGCTACTTCTCTATCGAGTTGGTCCGTAGGATGTGTGCTTATGTGCATACAGGTCCGGGTAATGCGTCGTCGACTTGACGTAACGTCATTACCGTTGATGCAGCCAGATGGTAATCTTTACAGTCTCACTGAGGATGGCGGTTTTGCCCCATATGTACCGGATGAAATTAGCGATCTTGGAGATGACGAGGACGGAGGAGTCGAATTGTCTACCCTCACCTCGAATGGTTTGTCGTCGCACCAGGACTACATATCACGAGCGCGATACCTAGTAGGGAGTTCAGGAAGTCCCTCCATGGACGAAATGGGTCCGCAGACACCTGCAGACATCAAGCGGGATATCAATAAGCTAAGCAGAGCTGTGGGCGAGCTACGTCTGGGCATGCGCAGTAAGCAACCAGATGTCAATCGTTCACTACTAATGATCCCTGAATATGTCGTTCTGACTTAGGTGACATGGACAGCGGCCGGAAAGCGCGTGCTGAGGCGCTCATTAACACCTACAACCGTATATTGGAGAGAATACGGAGGACTGCTAATGCCAATGGGCTGTATGCCACAAATGACGGTATGATCTGTTTTTGTCCCGAAAACCGCGTTCCTTATTTGTGAGCCTAGAGGATGACGGTGAGGCAGACGCGGACGATAATGATTCTGATGATAGCTTTCATTATCCCCAATCTCCCCTGGGGTCAAGTACAACTACTCGTCCAGCTTCGATAAGATCGCATCATACGGATTATTTCAGCCTTGCGCGTTCTTCCTCTAGGCAGCCTGACCTCACACCGCAACTGGCACAAGCTCCAGAATTCAGGGTCCCTACTCATGATGCGCCGAGAAAAATTGCGACAAATGGACTCAATATGCCAGTGCCACACACATTGCACTCTCAGTGGGAGAGGGATGAGGCAGCCGCAAGCTGCAGAGTGTGCAAGCGACGGTTTACGTTTTTGCTTCGGCGGGTGCGTCTGCTTTCGGCTGCACATATCAAGCTTCGCTGACGTTCTGCTCCTCATAGCATGTGAGGATCCTCTAAGCATCTTCTCATTTGTTTGTTGCCTTACCTCCTCACTATACTTAGCACTGTCGTAAATGCGGTCGCATACATTGCAATAATTGTAGCATTCATCGCGCAATGCTTGACCCCTCGGAGCTTATCACCGATCCTTCATCTCATGAAGATCCACCTGGCGCACCTTCTTTACAACGTGTTTGCCAAGCATGTTATGATGAGGTGATAGCGAATGTACCGTCCCCTCTAAGACGTGGACGTTCGGGAGGGATGGAGAGCTTGCAAGTGTCTTCATCGAGTCTGAGCTTACCTGGTAGTTCTCGGAGGAATGATTCGAGCTCTCAGTTAAGTGACCTCGGCGAGTGAGTGCGAAGTGTAATGATCTTGTTTGGGATTCGTTCATGTATTGTGATCCCAGATGCCCTGTATGTACAACAAATCTGGCGGACCTTGGCCCTGCCAGTGCGCAGGAAGATCATGTTCGTACCTGTCTGGAAGGTGGGAGTGGGCATGGGACCCAACAATCTGGGAGGTATCTTGTATACAAGGTAGGATTCGAAATACTGCTGCTTGAATTCATTTTAATTTCTGTGCAGCTTCCCCAAGAAAGTGTTCTGATTGGTGTCGAATGTGAGTAATGGTTCATGCGTATATAATAACTTCGGCTGAATCGTCTGGGTGGATATCCAGGTGTTATCTGTTTGGAAGAGTTTGAGAGAGGTATTCCCTCAACGTCATACACGGCATATCGTTCACTCATTTTCATTTCCACAGGCACGCTTGTGGCACGACTCAGCTGCTTATGTACTTTTCATAATCGTAAGACCATCTCGACGTCCCACACGCGCTTCGTCTGAGCCCTCTTCCCAGATTGTTTGTCGGCTTGGTTGCAACGTGGTCGGGCCTGTCCCATTCATGCCCGGGACATGTAAGTCCGTTGACTAAAATAACTACGCCCCTTTTCAGGATCGTTATGCGGATTTTTTGATTTTCTTCCAATTGGACGTTCCTCTTGGGATGAGTTCGGGCACAGTGGTGGCATACGCAGTAAGCCGAAGGGTGTGTGGAATAGCAGAATGCTGGGGGTGAATCCCGATCTCGTTGTCACTTATACAAGGAATCAAAGCTGGCGTTTATACTGGCTGAAAATGCTTGATTTCAAGGAAAGGGTATCACGACGAGCAACTACCTTTGTGCGGATGCCGCATTGCATCCAACCACACCAACAATTTGATGAAACTAATTGTCGAAGTTCGAATAATAAAACAAGTCCCTGGCAGCCTTTCCCATTAATATATAGGCTAAACTCGAGCTCGCTCATGAGAGGCATTCTAAAGAGCAGAGTTTGGACGGGAACGGGCCTGAGCATGTGCGAAACCATGCTTTTGTTCCTACCACCCAGAGGTCCTGATTTAACCCGATTCCCATGGCTCGGGAGACTGCCTCCCTTAGGTTTCCCCTTCCTGACTTGATTGGATGGAATTTCCATACGTACTGTCCATCAATGATTCGGGGGAGGCGTAAAGTTTCTCTCGGTCATCAACCTCTCTTATTCATCACACATTCGTGAATCGCCATGGCGAGGCTGGATGGTGTGAGTATTAGCTGGGAAGGACTACTACTGCAGGTCATTGACCTAGAAAGATTCCCACGTGAGGAGCTGGAAAGTGTGAACCATATTTTCCTCGAGTGCAGAAAACATCCGTATGGAATTGATCATAAGGTACCAGGTCTAGGCTATACTCAATGCTAATGGTAGAGGGCGCGAGAACCTACCTACACCCACTGCCAGAAGAAGCGAGGAACGTAATTATCAGCCTGGTAAACGACCAGACAAGACTCTAACGAAGCGGAAGAAATACGAGAAAAATCGTGCTGAGCACGTGGAATGGCATATTACACAACTTTCAAGTAATTACCTTGCTTGCAAGGTCATTGCCAGGTCATAATTGCCGTGGGAAATATGTAACTATTGCAAATTCCTATGAACACATCACATGGTTCCTCTGAATCAATTACTATTTGCAAACACATCACATGGTGCTCCATCACATGGTCCTCGTGGTCGCAATCTCTGCCTCATGTGTGTGCCATTGTTCCAGCAACGCAACGCTGTTCCCAGTGTTCCTTTGTCTTCTTGTTCAACTCTTCAAACCGTGAGTCCGCCCGCTTTAGAGCCTCGCACACAGGCCGTGTGAAAAGGGTTTCATCGAAATCTCTCAATAAGCGGATGGTTTCTCTCCCCGAGCTCCGCGATAATGCAACGTATGCACTGAATGGTGTCAGTGCTCCAGTAGGAGGACTTGCTAGGTCGATTATTACATGTCCGATCGTTTGGCCTTGCGCGCGATAGTCCGTGAAACCATATGCTCCCGTTATAGGGAGTTGTTTCCGCTTCACACTTTTGGCTTTCCCTCCTCCAATCTTCAGTTGGTATGTTTGTTCCTTAGGGAAAATTGGCACCACTCCATCGGGTAAGTCTCCCACCCGGCTTGGATTGCCATATTCCAGCCTAATAAGAATGCACGATGGTGGGTAAACCAGCGATACTCTAGGCCCCCAGTTGGATGTCGTAGCCTCCCTCGGATCAGGGATTATTTCCACAACCTCGCCGCGAGTACCATTGGCAATATTCATATCCGTGTTTATGTTTGACGTCACCATAACCTTTGCGCCGATGGCGAAATGAACGATATCAGGGAGTCTTGCGCCTTCAAGGACCGCCTTGCTGTTGTTTTTGGAGAGCTTTCCTTGTGCAGCGCGGATCCACCTCTCGCGTAAGTTGAGTGGCCTCCCTTTGATGGTATCCTCTGCTCCACATGAAAACAATCGCTGATGCGCTCCTTTGCAGTGACTCTCCAGAGCCGCTGCATTCCATTGCTCGCGGACCCCATGTCGAGGTGTGACCAGCCTCGCGTTGCGCCACGGTGAGTTCACAAAATCTGGTGTGGATCCGTCTCTGGATAACAGAACCAGATTCTTCAGCAAAGTCAGATGTTGGGGATTGCAGGTTCCATCGCGGCAGTGCCGAAGTAACTCGACCCACTCCGGATCTGTGACTCTCATCTGTTCCTTCAGAATAACAACTGTGTTGAATTTCTCGAACAGGCTGCTTCCCAAAGCTGCCTCTGGAGAATCCGAGAGGGATGATGGCCAGTATAAGGGTGCAGCGGTGCCCTCGCTGACTGGAGGGAACTGGTGGAAATCGCCGCAGAGAATGAGGTTTAAACCTCTGAATGGTTCGTCTTGCCTAGTTCCATGCACCTGCGTCATGATGATGCAAAGAACTGATGAAAGTTTTGCCAAGAATGATCGTGAAATCATTGAGCACTCATCAATGATGAGATATCGCCGCATTTGCCATTCCTTAGCCAAATCTGCAATCTGTTGCATTGTCGGCATTTTTTTCCCCAATGGGATACCGGCCAGGGTGTGCAGTGTCCTACCTCCAATGTGGCACGCCGCAATTCCGGTGTAAGCTCCTTTGGCAAGCATACCAGATGAGTTGTTTGCTTCGAACAGACGGGTAATAGCTTGAATTACCACAGACTTCCCAGTGCCCCCTTCGCCCAAAAGAAGCATGGAGAGTTGATCCTGGTGAATCCCTCTTATTGTATTGAGGACGTGAACTGAAATGAGGTCATACGCTCGTATTTGGTCAACTCCAAGCTGAAGTGCAGAATCCGCTTGCTGCGTTGCAACTTGAGTGCTGCCGCCTAGGGATTCTACACTACCTTGCGAGATCGCTGGCTCTGCAGTCCCAGAAACGACTTCTACGGTGCCAACGGCTCCCATCGGTGATCCGCCAGGTTCTGCACACCCTCCACGCTCGTTCTTGATCGCTGATTTCCATACTGCCTGTCTTTCATCGTTGTAGATTCCAATGCCGGAATGGCCGGGCTCAATTCCCCAAGCCTCAACCCATGACCCGAAGACATGTGCCGCCTTTGCGTGTTCAACTGCCTGTAAGCCATGAATGATCTCTCGTGTAGGTTCCTGCTTGCTAACAAAAGCTTCCAAATTTGCTTCGCTTAGGTCATGGTCGAAGCCTTGGCTGGACTCGTCCTTTTCGTGACCATCATCTGATTCATCTCCTGCATCGATCGAATCATTCACCACCGTATCTTGTGTGCGTGACCGTTCAGCAGCATCCTTGCAATCGTAGTAGAACTGTGCATTGCCAATCATGGCGACTTTGTCATTGCCTGCTGCCCGCAAGAACGAGTCGTAAGAATCTTTCCATGTTTCCTCGGACATTTTTAGTGAGCTCATCTTGCGCCATGGTTTGAGAAGGCAAAGGATAGAGGCTCTATGTACGTCTGCTTCATCAGCATCATCTGACCGAGGGAGCCATTTTCCGACGATGTTGGCAATGGTGCGGTGATTCTTGGGGCGCACAACACGGATTCGAGATGCATGCCATGGATGCTGTGTGTGGTATTTGACACGCATGTTTGTAGGTCTGCCCGCATGTCTAGCGACGTCATTTCGGACTTTATCCCCCTGTTCAGATATGGGCCCTTTCTTGTGGGAAACCTGCTCCTCGTAAGTGTCCGAGATAAACTCAAGGAGTGACATGTCTTCCAGCTCATCGCCTCTGAAAACATAGTCATCCACCTGCGACTTTGTGACCAAGGCCCCTTCTGGGCTCAGACCCAATGTCAGAAGCTCGACGTCACAATTTAAGCCCTGAGAAGCTTGAACAGCATCTGGTGGGGTGGACTTGCAGCCGTCCTCGTCCACGTCTGTGGGGATGTCCATATGGCCACTTACATCTTTGCCATTATCATCCATATCCTCAGTTCTTTGCTGGTCTTGATCGGGCCCAGGTTTCCTAACGAGAGGTCAGTCAATTATGAAAACATCTTTTAATATTTCTCCTTACCATGTCGTACGTTGGAGTGTTGGCCATTGACGCAGTAACAGGCGAGAAAACGATGTCCAATATAACGGTACATAGTAGTGAGATTTGAATGTATCTCCCCAACCCATCAGGTATGAAATCACCTGGGGTCCCGATTGCTCCATATCCCTATTAAGGGTATTTATGCAACGAAACACCAGCTTACGGTTACGGTCACGGATACCATTTGTACGCTCATCTTCAGCAAAGTGGTAAGCAAGCTTCTGAGCCAGCAGTGCTGACGCATTGGCTAACTTTGTCTGCGCTTTGGTCGCATACTTAGTGATGTACCAACAGATATTTTTGGTATCCTCGCCATTCGTGAGAAGTTTAATATCATGGTTGCAGCGCAGGAACACAAGGAGGTGAGGGTTGTAGTTATTCACATAGCCATATGAGCGTTGAGGTTTCCAGTTTCCATTCTCATCCACGACAGCACTGTCAGATAAGGGGAATGGTGCTCCTCGCTTGCATTTCAGCTTGTGAGTATTCCAGTCTTCTCGAAGGCACAGGTTGGCCTTGCATGTGTGGATTTGGCAGGAACGCATAAGACGTCTCTCGAGTGCAGCAGCTTGATTATGGAAATCAGCATTATTGGGATGGGGCGGACGACAGAACCCGACATCGTTTTCATGTTGCATCGCCTTCAACGTCTGTTCGTCCATACCAGGGAGGTGGGCCCGGATATTTGCCTCTATATACGCCTTCATCTTGTCACGGAAAACCACCGAACGGAAGCTGGATCGCAGCTTCTCTGCATCTGGGGCGTTTTGTAGCCAGATGATCATGTGGAGATGCAGGGTTCCACGGTTCTGTGCCTCGACAACACCGACATATGCTTGGATATAACCCAAAATGCCACATTTCCGTTTGATGCGGTGCCCTTCAACCGAAATCCCCAACAGTGTGCTCAACATCGCTTGAATTGTGAAATGGAAAAACTTCGCAGCCGCGTAGGGATCTTTTGCAATTGCCCGCTCACGATCGATCGAGTTGCTAATTACTTTATCTAGAGCATCCAAATCAATCTCCTTCCCCACAAGGACTTGTGCCAGTGGATCATGTATATCGCTTGGATTGACAGTCAGCCAGATACTAGGTGGGCCATATTTTAGTGTCGTGCTCCAGACTTGGCTGCGAATCGCTGCACGGGATGGATCTGTCCCCATCACCCGGCTCGCTGTCGCTCGAATATGCTTCATTAGTCGCTGCACTCCTGGATTTGAGATCGGAAGTCCCCGTGCCTCTTCATGGCTTGCCGCTTTCAAGTCATCGATGGTTACTTTGGACAGCAGGGATGCATCGAAGTCAAAATCCTTTCTTCCCATTTGAACCTTTGCAGAGGATAGGGCCTGGCGTCTTTGCTCGATACCAAATGCAACAAATGGAAAGGAGTGGTGAGTGTGGAATCGTCTTGAATGATGCTCAAGACAGTAACGAACATGTTCCATAAAGGACACATTCACCGGCCGACTATCTTCAATCCCACCTTCTCCATACGGAAATAGAACTGGAAAGGCCAATGCCCAAAAATTAAATTTGGGTATGTGATAGCGAGGGTCCAAAGATGCTTCGTTGGTTCGTAGTTTGCCAAAATCTCTTACTAATTTCCATCCGTGTCGAACAGCGTATGGGGGTTCTGCCTCAGATTCCTTGACCAGGTTAGTTACTCCCTGGGCTAGTAACTCTGATGTGGAGACTGCAGTGAGCTCCGTTTGGCTGCTGCCAAGATATTGCAATGGGATGACATCCCCCTCGTCTAACATTCCGCCATAAGTGTAATATTCAAGTATTCAATATGACCGGACTCACCACAAGAGGTACTAGGTTTGTCAACCCCTTCCTCGCTACATGATTCGTCACCGTCATCAATGTCTATCATTGCAAGAAGGTAAGTTTAGAGTGCTTGAATGCAGGCAGGAACACACCATTTCCAGGTACGTATGAGTCATGCTCTTTGAGGAGAGCACTTATTTCTGTTTCTTGACGAATGGCGGCCTTTATCTCCAAAGGTACGTCATCTTCTGGCAGGGAGTTCAACACAGCCTTGTCCATCGTATATTCTGAGAAGCATTTATTATGCTTCATCAGCCATTGAAGTGCAGCCAATACTGCCTTTCTCCGAATACGAAATGTCGATTTGAGCATATGCTGCGGCACATTGCCGACACCAACATAAGTTACTGATATGACAGAGGCGAGGATCTCCACAGGACGGGGCAATTTCTGCCCTTGAAGCATACTGAGGATATCTTCTGTGTTCATAGGAAAGCTCGTCACATTCCCCCGTAATCCTGACTGCAAGCGTGTAGGATCATCCCTTGGTCCACCTTTGGGAAACATCTTGACGACGAAGCAGCGTGGGTAAATGGGAGATAGTAGAAGCTGCTCTGGAATAGTGAGGCAGGAGAGTACATCAGGTACGTCGCCTATCCACATGTTGTTTGATAGGGAAAACTGAGGGATTTTATTACGCTGAAGGTCCTGAAGACACGTTCTACAAAGCATCGCATACCGTTTCCCTTCAGTCTCAATTACTCCCTTCCTCTCCAACAACATGCCATCGATAAGGATCTGAGCAGGATGTCGGTCCTGAGTGGCTGGTTTCAAATGACTGGCGTTTGGAATTTTGTTCACATCAACCATCATACACTCACGTTCCCAGCGCAGGCATGCACATGCAGCGCAAACAGCCTCTCGAACTGATGCAGAGGAGATTCTTTCCAAGAAGGCGGCCTGGCAATCATGAAGTTCTTCTTTAGAGGGTATATGCAGGAACTGGGTGGAAGCGGCATGGTGATTATCATCAACAAGAAGAGTGGATGTTGTGGGGCCTAGTTCATTCATTTCTGTATCCTCGCCGTCAACGCAAGTTGATGTAGGTTGTTGCCTTCGTTTTGGTGCTGGTCCCGGTGTCGGTGAGCCCAATCTTCTCTTATTTCGCGGAGGGGCTGACTGCTTGTTATCACGATGTTGCTCAAAGATGTTTTGCGCATCAGGAGGAAGGGCTAAGATAAGATCGAGCAACTTTTCACGGTTCCGACGAGCACTGGTGGAGACCAAGATGGAGTGCTCTTTGCAAATTGCAATAATATCTGCCATCGTCAACGGTGAAAGCGAGTCCTTCATGGCCTTGCAGCTGTCGTTGCTCCAGTTTGCTACTAAGCGCTGAGTATGAGTATCTCTCAATACACTCTTCGGTTCCGCAGGCATGCGGGAATACTGCCTACCCAGCACGGCATATTGACATTCATTCAAGCCGTTTGAAGTCGTCGAACTATTGCTTTCTGATGGAAAACAGTGCTGATTTCTCCAAATGGGCAACAAGATAAGCATATATTCACTATCCTGACAGTAAATTGACATTTTATGCGAGCTAGTTCCTGTCGTTCAATGATTACTTTCTGATGGAAACGCGTTTGGATTTCTCCGAATGGCTAGTGCTGATGTTTCCAGCTAGATCTTCTTTGCGCTTCGTGATACAGAGGCTCTTACAGGTCCAGGTAAGCATATAGGTTTGGTGTACTCGGGCCTTCGAAGCTCTAACACCAACCCTAATTATTGGTTTCTGATGGAAGGGATGTTCCTACGTAATACAGAGGGGAAGCTCATAATCATGACTCGAAGCGAAACTGTATGTAGACCACTCTATCTCAGGCACTGTCATGGTGCCGAGGACAAATTAGCTAATTTATGGAGAAGCATAGGTCTTTCTCTGACTGTCGGCCAGGCTTTGAATCAGATCTGCCACCGCCACCAAGCTACCTGTCATGGGGAATCCAGGCTTCGCTTCGATCAATTATGACAATTCAACCATTCTCTCTGTCACATATCTGTGCTTGTGATTTTTGAGTAACTGATTTTGCTCTTGTTTTAGTCCGGCCAATCCATATGTCAATGTACTGTTTCACCGCCGCTTCTTTTCAGCTAGAGAAGCTTCAGAAGTGATTCTAGAGTCGGGATCGTAAGTGATTACTTATTGGTTTCTGTCTTTCACCATGAAATGGCCATCTCCTAGCGCTGAACTAGAAGCACCCGTCAGTCTCACATTGACCCCAATATCCATTACGTTGATGCCAATATGTCCATCACTATCCCGGACACCTGAATCCTTTTCCAATAGATATCTCCCATAAACGGGCTAAAGTGACACTCATGAGTTGTTGGGTAAGCATGGATGTTCGACGCTTTCCCGAAAAGGGCCCCTAATATAGTGGCAACATGGGCTGTTAGGTACATAAGTATAAACTCAAAGCGTTTATAATATTATGACTGACTAACCCTCTTCCTCCTTCATCCCCTTGCTCGTTCAGACCATCTCCAGCTCCCGCTCTCACATCTCACAATGTCCTCTCTGCCTGACAATACCGAACTTCGTCAGCGTCTTGCCGGCTTATACCTTGGTGATGCCAATATTGCGTCTAAGGCTGTCTGGGTTTATGCAAAGGCTCGACGCTGTCACGTCCTCTGCCTTCATGGCGTCAATAAGACCACTCTCAATCCCACACCTGTGGTGCTTCATGGAATCTTCACCTTGGCCCGACACCCATTCAAGCTAGTTCCTGATGGCGGTTTTCTCGAGTCTACTGCCGAACTATACTTTGGTCACACACCCTTCACGAGGCAATGGCAAGAACAAATGCTTGGGCATGGCTGGAGAAAGTTCATGACAAGGACCTTCTTGGATACAATGACTTTTCGCAGTACATCAAGAACCTCAAGGGCTTTGAGAGTTTAATGCATGCCGGTGATTCGCTGCAACACTCGTTGGTCAATGATGAAGGTGCAACTGGCCCGCAGGTCAAAGTCATTCATAGGATGTTCGAGGTAAGTGTTATATTTATTCTTTCCGTTTTGCTGCGGGTTGCTGAGAGGGGCACGTTATAGTCCTGCTGGGATACGATTCGTGTGACAACAACACCTCAGCAAGATATTGAAGGTATGTCGATGGGTCTCACACAATTACAACGGACCAACTGATTTTGGTGATAGCCAAGTTGAAGATGCGGTACAAGCTTACCCCTGGGGATCACCCTGTTGCTGTGAGATTGGCTAACAGTAGTAAGCATTTAACGCAAACTCTACACAACATATAACTCAAAACCAAGAACAGAAAGCCCTTCCTGCAGCGGAACAGTAACACCATTAGATGATCCACGTAGTAAGCATCTAACACACTCTCTGCACAATGCACAGCTCAACACCAAGAACAGAGAGCCTTTCCTGCAGCGAAACAGTGAACGCTTTGGGTGAACCACCAAACCTTGAGTCAGTCACGCTACAGACGGAGCGTACGACACCACCAACAGAGCCCAGCACACCAGAAAACAAAGCCAAAGGTAGGAAGTTTCCCACCAACTATCGTGATAATTCATTCAGTTTATGCACAGCATTACCGGAATTGGGTGGATACGATGATAGCAGCGATGATGAATCGGGTTTGTTCCCTCAGCATCACCTATATCCTGTGCATAAGCTGATGGTGCCAACAGTCCATGGCTTCTTGGGGCCCGAGTTTGGTTTGGAACACTGGCCAGTGGTGCCAGAAAACATTGACCTCCGAGACAAGATGTTCGAGGAGAAAAGATGGCAGACGAATCCTCTTCGCGCATATCGTGAAGGAATTGAAGGAGTTATTGCTCCTTCGGAGTATGCAACTGCACTTCCAGGGGCCACTGTACAAATGTCTTTTACACTTGCGTGCCACTTGATAGGATCTCGCACCGGGAAGAAAACAACTTTCTCCGCACGTGTTGAAGAGATAATAATCCTCAAAAAACCAGCCACTCTTGTCAGTAATCGTACAGATTGTCACGACCCGGCGTTCCCCGGGGCCAGACGACCTCCTCCCTGACCCTCTCCCACGCCCGAACACTCCCCGCACACTCCGCTCGCCGCCCGTCGCCGTCTAACCACTTCCTGCCACCTCTCCACAACCCCTCTCTTGATTGTCGTTGAACGACCTAGCGGCGCAGAGCGCCGCGACCTGTTGTTCCATGCTTCGCCGCACCTTGTTACCTCGCGGCGAAGGTCACGCTTGACCTTCGCTGTCGTGAACACGTGCTCTTTGTTTGTTTTCCTCTTTCCTTTCTCCGCCCGCAATCTCCGCGAGATCTGGCGACTTATTCCCCATTCAGTTCCCTAGCGCTTATATACAGCTTGTAGCTAATGCTTGTACTGTAGTTCGAAATCAACTAGAATTACCCCTAGAGCTTACCTCTGTCCCCGCGAGACCTCTGACCTTCTAAGTATCGGGACCGCGTCGAGAACGAGGCGCAACGCTCCTCCTAGAGTCGTTGAAGCCGAAATCCCGGCTCTCTCGCCTAAGTAGCCTCGGCCTCGAGATCGGTGGGGTTTATTCCTCGCTAAAGCTCGGTCGTGTGTAGGATGCCTATTCCACTAGCGGGCAACGCTCAGTCGCCTATGGCTACCCTCGGCGAAGATTCGCACGGTTCTGACACAGATTCTGGATCGCCATCTAAGCGGCTGTTCTCCGGACCATCCTTCTCTCCCACGAAGCGACAGAAGCTTGAGAAATAGGTATGTCTGTCTCAACCCCGCCAACGAAGGGAACCACTCAGTATTTGCCTACTCTGCCCCAGACCTAGCATCTTATGGCATTGCGTGAACAAACTCATCCACGATTCAACTCAAAAGGGTCACATATGTTCACAAGAAGAGCCTTTTTTATTCAATTCACGATGTTCGCTTGATAGTTCCGCATCCCATCCCTGATTCAACTCAGAATTTGTCTTCGATTCGACCCATATGTTCGTTTGCTAGTATTGCTAATTCTCTTGAACTCACATGAGTAAATGTTGCGACAACCTGTGAAATGTTCACATGATCCACAAGCAAGGTCATGGTTGCGAAGCAACCTTTCTAGTTTGTATTCCGGGGTCATATTCCGCCGTGATCGGGCAAGCCCGGACGGCAGTGCGTGACGCATTTCCCCGTTGCTAACCTCAACACGGTACCAGCTCCGACCCGAACCGCTGGGTGTCCAACCGAACTCCCAGGAACAAGGGGGGGTTTCCACCATGAAATGGTAAATTCCCACGTACTTGTGGCACGCCGCAATGGCTGTGCGCGCAGCGGGATCGTCATTCGAACGTTTACGCAGGGACCAACGAAGGGCGGCTACGTTGTACGTTGGCAACTGGCGATATGGCTATCTTGAAAGGGGACCCGCCAGACACGCATGATGATGACGCTCGTAAACGACATGCACAACGACAAGTAGAAGGGGAAGAGACACGTCCACCACCACCTGCATACACTGAAACCCCTTCTGACGTACCTCCCTCATCATCCGCTCCTGTAGCTGTCCCCAATAATGCCAACCCCGCCACTCCTTTATTATCTGGATCTGTGCTAGGACCTACTCTGACACCAGCGGGCGCACCCGTAATGGTGATGGGGACGGGGTTGGAAAATCAACATCCTCATCACCACCACCAGAACTACGGTCCAACGCCTATCGGACAGTACTACCCTCGTCCTCCTCATAATGGGGTTGGTGGAGCGGTGATAGTGGCGGGAACGGGAGCAACGGGAACAGTGAGGTATTTGCCGTATTACGATCCTAACAGTCCTTATGCTGTCGAGGAGGCTAGCAGGAGGGGGAGAAGGAGATTTGTTGGGGCTGTAATTTGGGCGGTGGCGATTTGGTGTGCGGTCGGTATGATTAGTGGGGGTGTTGCTTTTGGAGCGTCGAGGTAGTAGATCTGCAGAAGTTATTGACTTGGCAATGACTTGAACAGGTAGATGACTAGGTGAGTTGGTTTTATTGTGATTGATAGGCAATCGCGTTGTGTAACGTGTGGGTCTACAGATTCTTTTTTTTTGGCGCCACTTAAAACCGGACGCGGTTTGGTTGGACTTATGAAGATATCAGATTCCCCCAGGAGTCGGGGATTGAGAAAGGAGCTAGGCTGGTCGGTTCTACCGCTAAGCCTGGGTGTGACGACATATGCATTTGATCCCATACGTACAATTTATCCCCAAGTTGGGTTGAATGAGCCTTTCACCATCCTCAGCGTCCATACTTCGAGGATCAATGTGTGGAACAGTCCGCCATAGTCCCAAAGGCAATGAGCGCGCCAGTATAACGCCACTGGACTGTCAGTTTGTGTGAACTCGGAGGAGCATCATGATGTGATTGGATATTCGAGAGGCAAAGATCACCCCAGGTCTCTGTCGGATATCTGCCTACTCGCTACTAACGAATTCGTCTCTGCATTTCTCCTCGGACACCCGATTTGACCAACGTTTAGTAGAGTGCAGAGTGATCTGAGAGTACAGACTCAGCTTTTGACGGGATGGGAATCCTACGCCCGCAAGGGGCAATCTTCTTGAGTTTGTGTCCAATCACTTGCTGGATTGAAGACAAAAGGGTGCGTCTAATGTAGTTTAGTTCTCAAATGCGGGGGAAACGTACGAAGGATATCAACAATTTTTTCTTTTGCATATTTGTGGTTCGTGTAGGAACGAAGCTAGGGACATTCCCCGCTGAAAGCTCTGGAGAGTGCGGTAAAGCACTTCCATCTCACCAGTCAAAGTTTCTTTCTTTGCTTGGATTCAGCTAGTATTTCCGCTGCATACGGACACCTCCGGAGAAAGACGGCGCGTAGCTGGGTACCCTAGTGTGTCACGGTCTTTCGGTCACAGGAGAACTGAGGGGTGGGTGCAACTAAGAATCCATGGCTCAAGCAAGTACCTCATGTTTGTAATCAATCCACTGAAGTCCTGACGCGTCACGCTTGTCCTCAATTGGGACTTCCCCATACTCGCCCAACAGGAAGGTTTGCCCACAGAGCGCTGAAGATTGATGCGTGCCTTGAAGAAATACGTCCAGCCTGTCAACAATGCCGCGGCTGATCGTCGTTACCGACATCTTGAGACTCCTCTTGAGTGACCATGGACTCCAACAAGCATCTGGGACGACGAGGCAATGACACTGACGACAGCCACGAAATTCGCAGGATGGCAGTAAGTTCTTTCCTATGAAAGGGTGACGCGCTATGATAGCCTATGATATGAGTCCGTCATGTTCTGATTTCCATGACCGAACGAGGACAGTTTGGGAAGGATAAAGATGGGGTCTTGATAGGCTAAATTATAAATACTGGATTGGATAGCATACGATTTGAAAGTTATTACGGACGAGAGTGGAGAGGCCGGTGCTCATCTCGTGAGCTTGTCCAAGGGCCACTGCAACTCACTCCAGTCCCGTGGGGGTTGGATCAGGAAAAGTCATCTCGTGAATGTCAGCGATCGGCGCGGAACATTCTTTCAATTTATGAATACGAAGATGAAAGAGGGCTCTTCTAGGAATGTTGCCGAGATTGTAAGTTGACACACACACGTCACTCGGTTCCGAAGTCGCCGGGCGAAGACACCCGTGAGTCTCGCTTCAGAACGTTAGAGGCCAGAATTCTGCCTAAAGCCCATCGGGCCAAGCCCCAAACAATCAATGGAGAACGGGGCGCAGGGGTTTGAGTATAATGGGGTCTAAGGCTTTCACAGGGCCAAAGTAATGTTCTATCACGCGAGTGACTCTTATGATGTGTTCTTGTCTTGGCCTGCGAGTCCTCAATCACGATCATACGTCGAAGCCCACGTTTTTCTTGAAGGGTAAAAATGACCAGAGTCGAGAAGTCGAGAACGATCATTGCTCGCCACAGTCCCCTTGATACTTGACGATTTTCCTGCGGAAGCGACGTGTCTCGTTCCAATCATTACCGCCGACTAAGCTAAGCCACGGTTCTGTGTTCGGTGGGCAGATTAAGTGATGGATTTCTAGGAAGCGTCCCGGAGGAACGGGCACCATAGGCAAAATGCCCAACGTCCATCAAGGCTCAAACAGGGATTGTCTCGGTGAATGGAGTCAGGCGGCTGTACTGCTTGCAGTAGTGAGACTTGGACACAATATATTCGGCCAACTCCGCCACAATACAATACAATACAATACAGGCACAAAGTCATCCACGTTTGGTTGTCGCACTAGGTTGGACCCTGAAGTCACGTCGTCGTTTGTTGTGGTTGGAGATAATATCATCAATGTAAATGAACGAGTGAAATTTGAAAGCGCCGGGGCCACGCGTTTTGGGTTTTGTCTTTCTTTTTACAGATGCGTCCTGAGACTAATCAGCTGCTGGATTGCGATTTGTCTCGCCTCCACAGGTACCAAGCACTAGCAGTTGACCACAACTCGCATCTCTCTCTCTCTCTCTCTTTCTCTCTAAGCTCGCGGGATAACACACCAAACCAGGTTCTATGAGATTTGGATCTGGATGTACTTGTTCTCTTCATCTGGTTTGATCTGAGCTCATGCATGGTGGAGAACCCAGCCTAATGGAACGATGGCGAGGCATATGAGGGTGAGCTAGTGAGTGGAGGACTGCTTGTTACTTGATGAGCGCTTATCTGGGTGTTGTTCGTTGGGCGCTAAGAGAGACTTAGAAAGGAGATTGGATTGCCAGCCCTCCCCCTGTCTCATCGCCGGAACTCGTGTTGTGGCATTCGTACGTTCTCGAATATATTCTTCCTCTTTTTTCACACAATTGTCTTTCTCTCTTTATTTATTTACTTATATTGACCATTTGAATTGGTTTGCATCATTTCTCATATTATTCAGACTCCGCTTAACACTCCGAATGTTAATTTGCATCCGATCGGCTGTGAATTGAATTTGGGGGGCTTTGGGCTTCTCCCGCCTTCAATTTATTGATATTGTTATATTGAATATGTATTTTGTTGAAGCCCTCTTTTTTCGCTTTTCTATTTTTCTGGATTTGTGAACAAAGACCTCCGTCAAACTCTTTCGCTTCCCCTCCCCGTTTTTCCCTTCTTCCCCCTCAACTTCAACAAACAAACAAATTTATCTTTTGACTTCATCCCACTCAGTGTCAGTCATCATCCACTCTTCCTCATCGTCACAGACACTCTCCAGCCCATCTCCATCAATCATCCCTCCTCCGTATCTTCCCTTTGTCTGATTACATAGCCTAGTCCTTTCTGACCCTTTCTCTCGCGCATCCCCCTCTCTCCACCTTTAGCCTCTGTTTCAAAACACCCTTCCTCGCCACTACACGTGTAGCGCCCGACACTCACCTCACACACTCGTCAACCTTCTGTACACTGGCTTCTGCTATTCTCTCACACCCGCGTCCTCCTTACGCGGACGGACACACAGGCCGCTCTATGCTCGACTCATTCGATCCTTCGAGAGAGTCCGACACCAACATCAACGTCAACAGCAATAACAACAACAACAACAGCATTTACTCTTCCTCTGTCCCTCCTCATCATCGCCGTGAATCTGTTCACCACCTTCAACATTCACGTCTTTATCCATCACGTCCAGATTCTCCCTCTTTCTCTCATATCTCTTCACCTCCCCTCCATAACAGTAACAATTTTGGAACAGCTGGATTTGCGAACAACCACCATACTATCAAACCGCGATACCGTGCAACAACAACGTCAAACCTGGCGGACGACCTTATCGTTTCACCTTCTTCTCTATCCGCTCTCTCCGACCCTCCCTCTTCTTCCTCGTCTACGTCATTTCCTTCAAATCCTTATCAAACGAGCACTTCTTTCTCAAATTCACGTATCAGTCGTCAACAATCCCTCGCCGGCCTTATGAATTTGTCTTCAGCCTCACTTTCCCTCTTTAACGATACCCCAACCCCGACTACTTCTACCACCTCGTCCACTACCGGTGCTACCTCGTCTGCCGATCTCTTTTCTTCTCAACTGAATCATAATCATCACTCAGATACCTTCTCCTATGAATTCGACCCAACTCCACATCCTTTTAGCTTTGGTCATGGAGTGAATGTCGGAGATCTTGTTGGAGGCTCCACCATCGTGAATGGTATCGCCACGTCAACGTCGCCAACAACGAATACAGCCCCAGGCCCACCGCCCTCTTCATCACTCCTTAGTGGCGGTACCACTGGTGCCATTCTTGGGGGCCCTTATAGGAGCGGTTCTCAGCAACAGTTGGGCTCGACTGCTGGTGTTGTATTTGGTGGTAGTGGCGGTGTTGGTAGCACCAGCGGTCTCAATGGGGGTGCCATTGTTGGACTTGGACCGGGAGTTGGTGGCGTCGGTGGAGGAGATCGATTGTCTTCGTCATTGTCCTCGTCTGATTCCCGACAACAACAACAACAGCAAAATTCTTCTGCTGGCTCTAATACCAATGGGCCGTCGTCTTCCACTGTCGGTGGAGGCACTGGTGGCAGTGGAGGTACCCAGTCCAGCAGTGCGCAACAGGAGGAGATATCCACTATTTTTGTGGTCGGGTTCCCTGATGATATGCAGGTATGTGCAACGAACCGCTGGTTGAGACCCCTTTTCACCAATTTTTTTTCTATTAGGAAAGAGAATTTCAAAACATGTTCACCTTCTCTCATGGGTTTGAAGCTGCGACGCTAAAAATCCCAAACAAGGAATCTACTTCGTATGGTGCGGGATCGAACCTGGCCTCGTCTTCATCCGCTGCTAATGCGGCTGGCATTAGTGGTGTGAATCGGTCTGGATTCGGAGTTGGTGGTACGTTTGGAGTTGGAGCTAGTGACCCGTACAATCTTGTCACGGTGAATTCGGGAGGTGTCGTGCTTGATTCAAGGGATGGTACGACTACGACTGCTTCTACCTCTGGTGCGGCGAATTCCTGGACGGATGATACGCTGTTTACGAGAAATGACAACGCTTCATCGAACGCGACCATGCAGCCGCCCCCAGCCCCTGGACCAGCACCGCCTCGAAAGCAGATCATTGGATTTGCTAAATTTGCAACGAGAGCGGATGCCATTGCAGCTAGGGATACGTTACAAAGCAAGAGGGTCGATGTAGAGAAAGGGGCGGTGCTGAAGGCTGAGATGGCGAAGAAGAATTTGCACACGAAGCGGGGCGTTGGTGTGGGTGGCACTGGTGGGCCTAGCAGTGGTGGCGGCAGCGGCAGTGGGCCGTCGGGTAGCACCCAGTCTAATTCTCAGCCTATTCCGCCTTCCCAGCCACAGCAACAACAAGGTCCTCAAGTCAATGGTAATGGCCATATTATTGGATCGTTGGGAGGGATGAACGGGTATGGAGCGGGGTTGCATGGCCATGGTCCTGGCCTACCGCCGCCTGGCTTGAATGGCCCTGTTAACGTTCCTATCGTCCCACTTTCTGACGCGTCCGTTGTTTTCGGGCTTGGACCAAGAGGTGCACCGGTTGATCGCGAATTTGGTACTGGTAGTGGTTTTGGCCCCCGTGTGATGACTGATCAGAGGGAGTTTGGTGGGGATGTTGTTAGTAGTGGTGAGCAGCCTCCCAGGTTTAGTGGACTTTCGTCATCGTCTGTTGGTGCGTTTGGAGGGTTCCACGGGCATGGGCATGGACACGGTTTTGGTGTGAGTGTGGGGTTGGGAGGTGGAGGACTAGGGATGGGTGGTTTCGGACTTGGTGTTCCTTCGAATTCAGGTCTTCCGAGGGCTCGTTCGGAGGAAGCGCTTGGATTCGGTGATGTCGGAATTGGAGGGTTTGGCAGGTTTGGCGGTAGCAGTGGTACGTTTGGAGGAAAGGAGGGAAGGGACGAGTATGGGAATGATGTGGCTACCCCCACTGCTACGGGTATTGCGGCGGGTGCGAACGTTGTTGTGTTTGGGGCTGACGATCTGCCTGCATTACCTTTCCTGGGTTCGTCGAGCTCAAGACCGCATTCTGCCTGGAGGAGTGATATTGGAGAGGGTATGGGTGGGCACGAGTCGTCAACGAAGGCGGATGGTGGTGAAGGTGGGGAGGATGATTCGTTGCTGAAGTCGATGACTACCTCGTCTTCGTACTCCTCGTCTTTGCCTTTGTCTGCTGGACGTGACTTCGATGTGCATGTGGATGCGGATGAGGGAGAAGTCGATACCATTGATCCCGATGCGACGTTTGTGGCGTCCGAGGTGCAGCAACAGCAAGGCGCTGACGAGAAGGGATTGAGAGGACCATCTAGGGCCGTGTCTCCTATTGCTCGTTCGAACACCTCCAACCCCCGGGCGTCACCTGTTCATCCGACATCGACATCATCTAATGCTCCGATTTCGCTGGAGTCGATCTGGAAGAGGGACTCGTCCCCTTTAATTGCTGTCGTTTCGCAGTCCGCCTCCGCATTATCCCGCCCATCATCATCTTCATCTAGGGCCATTCGACCCCCTTCGTCATCATCTTCAGCTTCGGCGTCGTCTTTGACTTCTTCGGCTCTTTTCTCTCAGGATTTGGAGGCGAGATTTGAAGGTTTTTCGATCGGACCGATCACCGCTGGTGCCGGGTCTAACGGTGTTGGCACTGGCTTGGGTTTGAATAGGCCACAGAGGGACGGGGAGTCCAGTCCGCCAGGTCTTTCTTCGCCAGGGTCAGGAGCGGGCATGGGTGGGTCAGGTGGAGGGGCAACTTATGATGCCAGTCCTGAGTCTGGATCTGGATCTGGCGTACCTTCTGCCATGCCTGCTGGGCTTACTTCTGTCTCTGGTACTTCCGGGTCGTTTTCCGTGTCTGGACCTGGCTCAGGCTCTGGGCGGGTGCATGGATATGGAAGTGGTGGAGGCGCTGACCAGAACCCTCCCATCAATACGCTGTACGTCGGGAATTTACCTACGATCAATGGAAGTGGTGGGAGCGGAACGACCACGGCGATGACTGTATTGGAGGAGAATTTGAGGCTCGCGTTTTCGAGGTGCGCAGGGTATCGGAAGCTTTGTTTTAGGCAGAAGAGTAATGGGCCAATGTGCTTCGTCGAGGTGAGTTATGAATTGTTGCTTGGCATGACAGCGATTGTTGATCGCTTTTTGTCCCCTTTCTTTTGTAGTTCGATGACGTGTCCTATGCGACAAAGGCGTTGAATGAGATGTATGGGCACACGCTCAATGGCCTGATCAAGAATGGGATACGTCTTTCGTACAGTAAGAATCCGTTGGGCGTTCGGTCACCGAGTTTGTCAAACAGCGCTCAGCAACAGCAACATCACGACTCGTCTAGTGGTGGTATTGGCGTTGGACGGTTTGGACCCTCTGTCAATGGTAGCAAGTCGTCTTCGTCGGGTTTCTTTAGCGGGGAAGGCCAAAGAACGAGGCAAGACAGCCTTGTTGAGGGCCCTCCGCCCAGGCATGTTGCTGCTGCCAATGGTGGTGCTGGGTATTTCGGATTTGAAATGCCGAGGAGCAGCAAGCATTTTTCGGTTCCGAATGAGTTCACGACAGTGGAGACGACGAGTCCGCCCAGGTTCTTTGGAACTGGTACTGGTGCTCTCTCGACGAATTCGGCTCCTGGACCATCTCCCGTTTCTCTCCCAGTGTCCGGTAGTCCGCCTCTTCCGCATAATGGTGTTCCCATGTCATCTGTTTATATGGGGAATTCGACGTTTTCGCCCTTTGGAAATGATCCCCTGCCTCCTTCCTCGACAACGAGCTCGCCTCCTTTGACTAATGGTGGGATTACGTCATCCTTTGTGGACAAGAATGATCCTATCGTGTCGCCCACTTCCATCTCATCTTCGTCTTTCGCTGTTACCGCTCCTGCTGCCGGTAGTCTTCATTCGCAAATGCATCCTCCATCGCATCTTCCTCATCTTAACAATACTAACAATAACGGCAATTTTCACAATTTTAACAATCATCATCAAACGCATGCTGCACTTCATCAACTTCATCTTCAACCGCATCCTTCTTTATTCAACAATCACCAGCATCAACATCATCTTCATTCGCTTCAGCAGCAGCAGCAGCTAGGGCGTGTTTTGGATCGGTACGACGGAGTAGTAATGGGGCCGTCGTCGTCATCGATGTCGAGTTCTCTGTACGGCGTTCCTCCTGGACTCGGTAGTGGTGGTGGTGGTGGTGATGGACAGGGTCGTCTCTTATGATAAAGACCGGTTATCATATTGGCAAGACGCGCTTGTTCGTCAGCTCGGTATTCATTGTTCCATAGATTCCATAAAACACCGATTTCGAAATATTTATCATCATCACCCTGCAAGTCGCATTTTTTTTTTTATCTCGATCAACTCCAACTTCCCTCTCGTATACCATCAAACAAATTGACCCCTCTCAGTCAGAATGATCTTTGTTTTTTTTTCACACTTTGCAGCAACATTGTCATCATGTCCTCGATCTAACCCCTTTTTTGTAACATTTCACTACACGGCCCCCACTACTAGTACTACTACTGCGTCAGCTAAGCTTGCTTCTATCGATCTGTCTCTTTCCCGTCTCGTTTTTTATATATGCATGGCGTACCCATCACAGAGACGAATGTTTATTTTGCACTCCTCCCACTTGTTCCCACTTTCTCACTTTTCTTCCACTATCATAACTCTCGCGCACGTATTCGACTACCTTGCCTTGTACATCTCTCCTTTTACTTTAGGCCCCTCACCCCTTGTCCGAAAACTACCTTTGAGTTATGTATGTTTTACAGACGTATCTTAGCTTAGCGCAGCTCGCTCGACTCGATTGAACATTTTTTTTGTTCGAAATGTCCAAGTAGCCATAAGTATTATATTCTCTCAAATACATGATTTTTTTTTCTTTTCCTTTTCGTGTGCATCCTCGCGCTGACTTGTGTGTAATGGAGGTCTTGTATTTATATGAAGCAAGAAATTCGTCACGCGATAGATCAACTGAAAACGGCAGCGGAGTTGTCCGAATTGATTGTTATATTGTTATAGTAAACCTGAGATCCTGCTTCTGACTCGCCCACTATAACTGCCATGGCATCTCCAGACGCTCCTTCGGGTGGACATATTCAGCCTAATCCGTCCTCCCCCCCAAGGAAACCAGCCAAGTACTATGCTGAGCATAAACGTGATGAACTTCAAGCTTATGGATACGACGAACAAGTTCATAAACTGAAACCTTTCCAGACTTTTAAGGATGTCACCAACTTCTTAGGCGTTCCAGGAATTCGATCCCAGGGGGCCAGCGGAAAATTCACCCTTAAAACTTTCATTATGGTGGCCAACACAATGGCTCAATCCATACACCGTGAGCGTAAGTACCACTCTCCCTGCATTTTTCTGTTCTTTTTGGCATATGGCCTTGAGTTTAGATTTTGCGGACATGCCCCTCTTGGTGTTCAAGTCTACAGAAAACAAAATCCACCGTGGGCATGTCACTGACACTGGTTGCAAGCCGGATTATACTGCCGCTTTCGAAAAGGATTGGTTTCCCGATGGTACCACACTCTGGCCAAACATTCAATTTGCTGGTGAGAAAGCATCCGGAGGGAAGTCTAGGGACTCCCAAGAGAAGCAGGCCGTTTCATACCTACACTACCTCCTCCTTGCGAGGCCTGACCTCTTTGTCGCACAAGGAGTACTTGCCTCCAAAAAGAATGTCTTGTTTCTCTTTGGAATCGGAGGTTATGGCATACGCAGTTTCGAACTCGGGTGGGACGACAAACTTCTTCCCCATCTGATGTACGACATTATCTATCGACTTTACAAGCCAGATCATTTTGCGGATGCAAGGTATACGAAGTGCCCCGCAGTGGACAATTTTGTTCCATATACTGTGTGCCTCCCTGGGGATAAGCCAGGGGAGACAATAACGTGCCCCAACTTCACTCCCATCTATGCCAGCAATCCCTTTCAGACCCGCACGCATGTCCTCTCAAGCCCAGACTCTGAAGTCTTGGTTCAGGGAAAACTCTTAACGGTGCTTAAAGACCAATTATGCCGAGTCGGGACCAGATTTGATGAACACACGATCCTCCATCATAGGGAAAATGCCCGGCGTGGTTGAAATGGTGTACCATCATGTGTTTGACCTTCCTCTGCCCCTTGGTGACACCCGAAGAAAGTATTTCACAGGATTGCGGCAATTTGGGAAACCTTTCATGAGCATCCCTACTCTGCGGCAGATGTTGGAGACCGCATATGATGTCCTGGAAGGTATTTTGGTCTTATTGGCTTCCTTCCATATATTCACATGTCTGCAGTGTTGCGGAATTTGCGTTTCGAATGCCAAATCCTACATCGCGACATTAGCAAAGGGAATGTTCTTTATATTGATGATAAGCCACCCCCGACGACAATTGCCTGTAGTACTCCACATGCCAACTTTATTGGAGCGAGCGAGGTGGCTATGGCCACTGCCACGGGCTCATCCCTTTGCTTCATTAAGTATCTCCTCAACGAGAGGTATGTTGCAGTATGGGGCAATGGGGTGGTCACTGATGCAAGACTGAACCTAGCTGTGATCCCTGCGAAACATCGGCACTGCTCATTGATTTCAACCATGGTGAACATCTTACACGCAAACCGAGTCAGCACAAGCGAACTGAACGAACGGTCAGTCATGTCTTATCTTCTCTTTGTAACCTATTTCATTTGCATTGTTATCAGGGCACCCCTATCTTCATGGCCCGTGCCCTTCAACTGAGGAAACCAGTTCCACTTCGCATTCCCTCAATTCTCGCTGCGGTACCTGATAGTCCTAAACCCTATACTTTGGCCCACCCGGACCGTGTTGCGAAATTCCCGTCCACACCGTTGAGATTGCTCACTGACCACCCGGGTGGTCGTAACAACCGCGAATGGAGGCATGAACTCGATCATGATGCGGAGTCTGTCTGGTGGTTACTCCTTTACTGGACGGTGACCGCGCAACCCAAAGGAGAGCCAGATGAATCCATTGCTCAGTCCGTCTGGTCGCTTCTCACAGGAGATGATCGGCATTCGCTGATTCATGTCCTGGCCGGTGGGCCCTGGCCGTCGAGTGAGAGCACTGTGACTAATATCCACACCCTCTACTACAAACCACTCTGGCCTTTGCTTGGTAGGCTCGCCGAGATTCTTGTCATTGACAGATATTGGCTGGAGGACTCTGAAACGCGAAATGCACCGCAATATATTAGCGAGGCATTTCAACGTTTGATCCTCCAATTTATCCTTGACAACCGTAAGGCGGATTTCATGATGCGCCAGGTTAAAGAGTGCCCCCGTCGAGTTGAAAAGGACTCGCAAGAGCCAAGCCATTCTGCTACAGTCAGCCAGAGGAGGAATGCTGAGGTCAGTAGCAAGATCAGTAGTAGACGCTCATCCTCCCTTTCCTCAATCCAGGAAGAGCACATCGCGCAGCCTGCCAAGGAGGTAACGGAGGTATGCTATTGAGGCATTCTTTGGTCTTGTATTCCTGTCTCTTACGGACGCGCTTCCTTAGGACAGTGCACATGGGGGTGAAGATATGGATTGGTCTGCCGACGAAGAGTTTATGAAGTCGAATAATATGTAATCCCTGTCAACAAGCATGTAATATAATTTGGTCCGCTGCTTGAGGTTGAAGTGCTTGAGTCAGCGAGGTACCCAGTTTGACGTGTTCTTGTTAGGCTCGCTGAAAGTCGTTAACCCTCGACTGGCATCACGCTGTGCGTCACCCGATCTATAGCATAGGCGCGATATACTATAAAGCGCTATAGTGGTCAAATGGAACTATAGGCCATATTCTAATTGCAAGTATCCTCATACGACACCCCACTGTCTATTTGTTATTTAATGGAGGTACGAGATTAAATTAGGCTTGTGCGCACTCAGTCTAAACGCACTCATTGGTCTCTTTTCGCGCGTGGCATTTTTCCCGGTGGTGTTTAATCTTATGCGCCGTACCCGCTGTCGGCCTTACGCATACTGTGCCTTCCGAGGTTACAGTCATGCCGATTCAGGTTTTTGCCGCTGCATTCCTGGGTCGATTCTTCCGGACAATCTCATCCGTGAGTTTCGTCCGCCTATGCTACAGGGCTCTGGCCCTCTTATACCTTTCCTCTGCTGAAGGCGTGTTCTTTCTTAGTCTTTTCTTTTGTCCTGTATGCTGTTTTTTGACGAAGACATTCCTTCGTCTTCCTTGCTTCCGGTAAGCCTTTCGGTCTCGCCGAGGGGGAGGTGTTGTGACCTTCGGTTACTCTCGGTGGGTGGGATCCCGATTGCTTACTTAGGTTTTTCTAGGTTTCCTTTTTTCGGTTGTTTCCTTGCCCGCTGTAACTTCTGTCTTTCTTTCCTTATTGCTCGTTGTCCTTGTCGTTTGCGAAACCCTCCTCCTTCCCCGGTCTCCTCCCTATTGTAAATTAACCGGGTCACCTTCAATTCCAGAGGTTCTGGCATTTGCCGGGACTGTTGCCCTGCTAATCGCTTGAGTCTCCTGCGTGCACACAAGTTCACCTTCTACTGATTGGCCCTGCCGCCACCAGTCGGGAACAAGATCGAACAGTTCACGAAATTGTTAGATGTGTGTGTGTTCTCAACCATATTCCGACGCCAAGAATTAATATTTGGTGGGGTTCCGGAACGTCTATATAACCCGGATGATGATTGGATTAACACTTCGGATTGGAACGGTTCTGACTCTGGTGACACAGACCCACAAGACCGCTAAACTTGATGTTCGAGCGTCCATTCTCAGGCTGGTCCATCGGTTGCTTGTATTACATGCAGTTCAACGCAATATGCATAGATCGCTTCTTGTTCGATTTTGTTTTATTGTTTACAGCGAAAACCGGTTTATCAGGGAAAAGTTGTGCAACTGGAACCCTCCTTTTGGATTAGGAGGTCTTCTCACTAGACCCTAGTCTTAGAATAAGTATGCTAATTGCGAAATAACTCAGCTTCACATTAAAGTGAACTAAGAATGTTATAATACCTAATCGCGAAATAACTATCGTACATTAGTTATTAGTAAGAATCATAATAACTAGTCGAAGTATGAATCTCACCTCAGCTTCATGTTAAAGTGAACTGAGGGGAATGAGAGTGCGAAAAGGTGGAAGTTTTATAGAAAAGAGATAGGGCACCAGCGCGTAGTGCGCCAGGCCAAAGAGTAGTCGGTCCCGACTCAAAGCGGGATGTCATAGCGAAGAAGAATAAAGGGAAAAAGGAGTTACAACCACGCCACCTTAAACCCATGATGGCCGTAGGGCCTAAGCTCCTACTGAGTGCCCGTTGAATTCCAACACCTAGTTCATATATTTCCCGTTTGCGAATTGTACATAATGTTTTCCGCTTTTGGTGAAGTTGAACATAAACAATAACCAACAACATCCAACAGCCCTCATGTCCCAGCCTCCCCAACCATGCCCCTTGTACGCCGCCTAAGTGATGACCTAAAGCTTTGTATCCCCTTTCTCTGGATGGACGGTCTAAATGTTCAGCAGATATGTCGTACTTTATCTTTCAGCAAAACCCTAGTTTACAAAATCCTGACCTGCTGGCACACCAACAATACTATCCGACCCCCATCACTTTGAAGAGTTGGATGGCCATGCACTCTCCCAGGAGAGGCTGTCACTTACATTGAGACCCACCTTGACAATGATGGCACACTTCTCTTGGATGAGCTTCAAGCCCGTATCTGTACTGAATTTGGGGTTGATGTTGGCATAAGCACCCTCCGACGAACACTCGACTCACTTCTTTACACTCGCAAACAAGTAACTAGGATTGCAATAGAAAGAAATGAGGTCCTCCGTGCTGCTTTCAAATGCTGCTATGCAGAGCTGGTCCATGACCCCAACATGCTCATTTGTATCGATGAGAGTTCAAAGGATGAATGCACCGTTGCATGTCAGTGGGGGTATGCCTGGCTTGGGAAGCGTTGCCCAGTTCGATCTCGGTTTGTTCGAGGGACTCGGTATTCAATTCTCCCTGTCTTAGGTGTAGATGGTTATCTTGCATATGAGGTTTTTGAGGGACTGGTAACAGGAGACCGATTTGTCGAATTTGTCATATCCATGCATACCTGTGAGGCCCCGGCCCATGTCTATATTCTGCCCACAACATCAGTTGATGTTGTGTTGTGTAATAATTATGTCGCGACGCTAATTTAGCATCGCGGAAGCTTCTCTATTTATTTGTGCCAAGAATGTATAAGATTGTATATAAACCCTCGGGGTAGCTGTAAAAGGCGGATTAGCCTTTACTTCTACCCTGTCAATATACAGCCAAATCAAGCATATACTTAGACGGACTACTGAGGCCTGAGGCGAACGGGGGAACGGAACATTACCGTCCCCAAACTAGTAAGATAACCTTTCACTTTTTTACGCTCTTATTCTCTTTCCATTCTCGGCACCACATTACCGGCGCCGAAACCCCATTTGGCAACGCGCGCGTCGTCGGCCCCTGACAACGCACGACTTCGATCAAGTTCTCACGCGAACTTGTTGAACGACTCGACACCTCTTCTGGATGTCGTGGAGATACAACACCAGGAGCACGTCCAACGCTCCCACCAACACGGCCGGCCCCTCCACTGGCCGTAGGGTGGAAGACGACACCACCTCAAGTGATGGTGGTGATCTGGGCCTGCAAGGGCCCAGGGATGCATCTCAGACGCGTCCCACCTATATGAGAGACGTTGACGAAGTCACAATGTCTGAAGCCCTCGCAGCGGAGACTCTCGCGGCATTCGTCCCAATGCGCGCGTCATGTCCTCCATCCCCAACCCACTCCCTCGCGTCTGAAATGGTGCAAGTACTAAGAAATCGCGTCGACCAAGTCGACGACGACATCGCCGACTTGAGAGGCGATGTCCGTAACATGAATACCCAAATCTCTGGGAATAGCGATAACATCGCTCGTCTAGATCATAACATCATTAAGGTGGAGGAAAGACTTAATGAGAAACTAAACGAAATCCTCCTCGTGCTCTCTTGACGCGACGAGCCAAAGTCACCTGCAGCAACGGTGGATAACCCATCTGCAAACCCTGCAGTGAACCCAACAACGGGTGGGGACCCTATCGTTGTCTCTGACCAGACGAAAAAAACCGCTGTTGAGGCACAGGCGCCCCAAGAGGTCCCTGTAGTCCCCGTTAATCAAACGGGTCAACCAATCACTAAACCCGCTGTGGAGGCGCAAGCGCCCCAGGAGGTCCCTGTAGTCCCCGTTAACCCAACGGGTCAACCAATCAGTGGGGTCCCCATACCTGGAGGGATCCCCACTGTCTCTGCTGTCGTCACAGATGCGCCAGAGGCGACAAGTTCACACCCGTCCATCGAGGTGCAAGAATCTGACGGACGTTTTGTTCCCATCTTTAGTGGAACTAAGCCACCTACCCCGTCGATGGCGCCAGTAACCACTGACGCCAAGGGAAAAGGTAGGGAGATCGACCCAGGACAACTGGCTGGATCATCGACTACGGGGGAGAGTGGAACTTCTCCATTCCATTTCAGACCAGGCTTCTGTCAGGGCCCGGCCTCGGACTCGGAGGCTCCCTGACCTCAACCCCCATCTAACCTGTCCTCACACTATGCGGGGCATGAGATGTATAGTAAAAGGAAAGATAATATATACACTTGCCTATGCGGGGCATGAGATGAGAAGAAGGGTAAAGGTCTCATCTCCCCACATGGTTGCTATATAAAGGAATGGGTCACATGCTCACAACTATACAGCTCCTAGAGTTGTGTAGTGTGACCCGGAGGGAACATCCAGGTGGCAGTGCCCAGTAAGTGTGGGAACGTTCTGGGCGAGTTGCTCGCCCAGAACTGTGGCTGTGACCCGTGGGAACATTCTGGGTGAGCTGCTCGCTCAGAAAGTTCCCACGCTATCCCGTGCGCGCGTGTGTACACAACACACAGAGGTGACAACAAGGCAACAGTCAAAGAATAAAAGGGGGTAAAGTAGGTGGGGAGTCTGGGGCACCCTAAGGCAGGGTGCTGAACCCTGACAGCTTCGTGCCCACGCCGTTCATTCTGTCGTCCCAACCCACGAACGGTGGGGTGAAAATACCACGTGTTGACGCTACTCAAACGCGTAATTTCCCTCCTGACCATGGGAGAAAGAAAGCAGTGCCGATGAAGGCCACTGTGGAGACGATACAAGAGGAAGACGGTGACACGGAAGCCACCAGTGTTCCGTACGATTATTACGCACGGAAAAAATGCCCGATCTACGTCCAGGATTGTGTAGATGACATTGGCGGACAGCCCACCAAGGTCAGACCTATCTTCACTAAGCATAGTCTCAGCGAATCTACTTTCGACTTTAACGCCCATCTGGATGCAGACGCAGCATTCGTATACAACGTGGGTCATGGGGCAAACGGTGAAGACCCTGAAAGACTGTCCCACAGCACAGCACTCAGACGAGTGCTGGATAACTACCACCGATTCTCACAACCGCCTGCAGCTCCAGAAGGGGGCAAGAGGCGTGTAGACCAAGTTAGGTCTAACTCGGGAAGAAGGCCCCGCCGTCCGAGTGGCGATGGTGATGATGAGGATGGTGGCAAGGGTGGCTCGTCCTGGCCCAACCCACCATTTCTTGACCCATTTGGCACCGAAGCAAAACGGGAGCCTTCATCCAATTTTCCAAACCGCTTGTCTGTACGACCCGGTTTGTTTGACTCAACCATGCGTTCATATGCAGCACCTGTGGCACGAGTAGTGCCTGATCCATCTGAGTTCATGACTCAGCTTCTTGAATCTGCACACCGAAGTGTGGAGGTCCGAATCCTGCAGCCACTGCCTGCAGATGTACGCCCAGAACTGCTTAAAAAGATGCAGGGACTGACTCTGACCATCAAATGGTCTGGAGAGAATAACTCGAAGATATTCCACAACTGGCTGCACTCCTGGCTAGCCTATATGTCGTCGTGTGGGTGGAAGGGTGAAGCTTACAACGAGTTTCACGTCCACACTTTGACAACCGCTGTTGAAGGCGAGGTGCAAGACCTCCTGATGCACTATATACGCATTGGAGTGCAGAATGGGGTAACCCCCCCATTCTGGGATCTACTAGAGATCCTTATCTGCACCTTCATCAAGAAGTCTGCAGCAGTAGCATCCACGAAAGCGTTCAAAATGCTTTCATACGATTCCGCGAAGGGAATCAAACACTTCTATAACCAGCTGTATTGTGCAGCTGAGGAGATGATCACGCCTCCTGACCAGGCAACGTTCAATGAACGTTTCCTGAACGCCATCCCTGGCGAAATGCGTCGGGAGATGGTTATGTGCCACGACATTTCCGTGGACTACACAACGAAAGACGAGTTGTGGACCGCCGTGCTCCGCCTGGACCACGCATACGATTCAATTAAGGCGATCTCTGCGTATTGTAACGACTCGCAAGCGCCAGCCGTGTCAAAAACGACGCAAAAACAAGCCAACACCGCAGCAGCACCCAAAAAAGCTGCTGATTCTTCGTCCACCAAGAAAGTGTACAAAAACACATTCGGGGGAAACACATCATCTCTGAAGAGCAGACAACGCTCGACCTTCCGTGCGAGCTATTCGCCGGCTCCAAAAACAGAGAAGTCGACGTCGTCTACAGCGACGAAATCAACGCCATCCTTGGATAAGGATGGGAAACCGCATTGTTTTAAATGCGGGAAAATAGGCTATCAACGTGATTGCCCAAATCACGACAAGCCCAAACCGCGCATGTACAACATAGCGGTCGAGTCTGACGAATGAGACCTACAGGACTCGGAGCCTGTAGAAGAACCGGAAGGTGTTGAAGATCCTGCAGAGGTGCAGGACTATATGGCCGACGATGAGGCGTTCGACGATAAACTCGTGGACGACCCATACAATCCCAACCTCCTCGCTGAGGCAGAGGAGGAGTACGTAGAAGTGGATGCCGACATGTTCGTCGGTGCTATGACGTTCGTGGATCCCACGGACGAAAACTTCTCCATTAAATTAGCGTCTGCTCGGCAAGCAGACAAACTGCCATCTGATGAGCAGATAGTAGCTGAGCTTGTCAACGACGCAGTAAAGACCTACAAGAGGGACGGTGTTATACCGGTCCCAAAATCTTCATCGGGGAAACCGTCAACGCAAAGTGTGACGAGTTCTTCAGTGCCTAACAAGCTTCTGAAGAAAATCCCGCCAATATTCGATGTGAAGTTTAGAATCTTGCAAGAGGTGGGTAAATACCCTGAAAACCGCAGCGCCGACTTAAGGCGGACGCTCACCGGCGAGGTTAACATCGCCGGGGTAAACGCTTTTGTCCTATTTGATAGTGGCGCTGAAACAGACGCCCTATCTCCAGATTTTGTCTGAGCAGTTCACATTCCACTGCTCGAGTTGCCAAACCCCTTGGTTCTCCAGATGGGGACCAAAAACAGTTGTTCGTGCATAATGTACGGCACAAATACTCCCGTAACCATTCACGGGGTTACGTCTACTCACTATTTTGACGTCGTCAACATTGACCGCTATGACGCCATTCTCGGAGCTCCTTGGCTGAATGCCAACGGAGCGTCCCTCAATTTCGAAACTCACACCGTCCACATAAAGATGGGCGACATCAAAACGTTTGATGTCCTGACGGAACGGGGTAAAACCCCAGTGGGGGCTGCTGCACGCGGTCGCCCCAAACCCCCCCATGCACCGAGATCCGAACTGTCATCTAAACAGACGGCATGATGCAATACGGCAAAGGCTGGAAACCCTTCGCCACGCGTCCTTGCCATCTCCGCTCAAAAAGACGCGGATACCTCCCAGTGGCCCAATCACTGGCCAAGCCCGAGGTTGAAAGATCTCAGGCTTCCCAACTGTTCCCATTTAGAAGGTCTGCCAATGACAGACCCTGAATTCGTGCCACTCAGGAATTGGTGGCGTGAACGTTTCAAAGACATCATGGCGCCAGCCCCTGAAGTCCTACCTCCGTTCAGGGAGGTTAACCACCGGATCAACTTGATTGATCCGAATAAAAAATATATAGAAAGAAGGGCTACGTGCCCTCAGGCCCTCGAACTGCAGCTTCGAGAAAAGATCGCTCGTTATGAGCGAGCCAAGTGGTGGGAATGCAAGGCAGTCGCGACGGCGGCTCCACTTCTTTGTCTTGCAAAGAAGGACGGTTCTTTATGGACTGTAAT